CCATGCTGCCTAATCTTCAAAAAGATAATTTGTCTGGAATGCTCTTGTAAACTTTACTGACATTTAACGTCATTCTTTAGAAAGTTTGATTGCGTTCAGAAATTTAATATATATGTTAAAAATATTTTCTGATGATCAGGTTGTATGGCTTAATAAAAGCATTAAGCTCAGTTAATAGCAAGTAATCATTACGTCTACTACATATTGAAAAGAATTAATTGTTACAGCCAATGTGTATAAAATTTAATTTAATTTAATTTATTACAACATTATCTTCTTTATTGACATATCGCTGGTACTATTCTTAATCTACGACAAAACAAGATTTCATTTGACGTTCGACCTCATTCAATTGTCATCAATCTTCACATATCATTTTTGTGTTTTTATTGTTTTGACATTTCTTAACATTGTGTCTGAAAGCCACGTTCTTTTTATTTTAATTATTACGAAAGTAATAATTATAGCTAACATTCTTTAATTCATAAAAAATCCTGTATTAAATTTAAAAAATGGCTGTAAGTATACTACGTGAAATATATCTAGAGATTTTACGATTTTCGGAAGGTAACAATAAACTAACCAACAAATTTAAATTTGCAGAAAAAAGGTAAACCAAAAATTAGCAAAGTGAAAAGGAATAACCAGACAACCAACAAGATGAAGAAGCAAGGAAAATTAAAACTGCAGCGGCACAAAAATAAAGTTCAGAAGCAGAAACCGCCATCACAGAAGCCTGTAGAATATAGCAGTGCTAGTGAGTCAGAATCCGGTGACGAGTGGGCAGATATGTTAGATGATGAGGAGCAAAAGTACATACTCAGTCGGATTGCGAAACAGCCACAACTGTTGTCTAATGTGCCTGAAAAGGAAGAGGTAAACAGGTCAGTGTAACTTTTTTTTTAAGCAAATTTATATAAATATTCTTAATTATATAATTAATAGATTTAATAAATTAATATATTTAAATAAGGTATCTTCAGGAGGCCTATGTCAAAGGACAAGCTGGAAATGCAGATTAGTATAAATAGTGTTAAAAGAAAAAAAATAATTTAATACTTTCAGCAATAAAGGCTTTATTATTGTATAAATAATAATTGGTTCAATATTGTTATGTTGTACCTAGTTTAGGCCGTACTTAGGAGGTATTTCACTGAAATATAAAAATAAAGTATGAGTAAGTTATATATAATTAAAGTTTGTTTGTTTGTATGTACTCTTTACTAGGTTTGTCTAATGTTTTTATTTTGTTGTTTAATATCTTTATGTCACTGGACATATTTCACAATGCCATCTAGTCCCAAACTGCTAGATAAAACTGCTTTTGTAATGCATTCTCCAATATACATTCTTTTGTATTTTGTGTGGTAAGTTATTTATCATTCTGGCTTACAGTGTTTACCACAACAAATGCCTCTGACTACCTTATTAAGGATTTCATAAGTATGTATTTTTTCTCTTTTCTTACAGAGCAAAACGTAAAAAGAAGATAAGGGTGGCCGTATGCCAAAATTCGTCCCACCCGGCAGTGACAGCGGAGCAGAGAGTGTACACTCTGATAGTGAAATAGAAGATAAATATGAAAAGGAGTTATCTGAAAGACCTCCGAAAAAGATGAGACCACTGTTGCCAATTAAAACTAAACATGGTTTAATGGAACAGAGTGAAGAGTATGAAGGTAGATATATTGTTGTTACTAATTGTAACAAACAATTTTACAATAAAACATTATCAGACTTGTCATATCAGCTATTGTCAGATTTAAATACCATCATTCTCATCTTTTATCCATTGCTAAACATAAATTCCCTCATAGTTCATCATAGACAATTCGAGTGTAATTTATAGTTTCATAGTTTTCAAAAATAAAAATGATACTCTTTTTTTTTATTTTTCATATATTACCACATGTTTTGACTAATTTGGGGGTTGATAATTTAAAAAAAAAACTAAAGTAAGTACTTTGAAACCACTTTAGTTTAGTCAACTAAACCCATTATGATAAGAAGCACAGGATATGGTACAAATTTCATTCAAATCTATTCAATCTTTAAGCTATTGCCAAAATTTAAACATAGAATCATCTTTAGAAACTTACCTTGTTATAAATATTAGGACAAGATAGGGTACCAAGTAATTTTTATGCTAAAAAATTATATGAAATTTAAAACATTTTTCTTTCTAAAATTACACACACACACAGAATCAGAATCTGAAGAGGAAATGAAAAAGCCAGCAAAACCAGTACAGAAAAAGTGGAACCACAAGAATCGGATTCTGACTCTGGGTTAGAGGGCACGGCTGAGGAGAATGAGTCATCAGACCATGAAGTGGTAACTGCTGTTCAACTGATGGCAGCCAGGAGAGACAAATTACAACATGATAAACTAAGGATTGGTGCATTGTGTTCATCTCTACTGGAAAGTCCTGAGAAGAAAGTATGAAGTATTTTATTTATTATTCAAACAAATTGCTTCACAATATTTGTTACTAATAATTACTCGTAGCTTTGGGGTATGATTATTAATCAGAATAAAAGTAACCTATGTCTTTTCTAATCTCAAATACTAAATTTTGTAAAAATTTGTTGATTCGTTAAGATGCATATGCATGCATAAGTTAACATTTAATATGTTAAATTCACTCTCACATTTATAATATTAGTAAATGTTGTAATGAAACCCTAATAAAACTGAAAAAAAATTAAGGTTATTTTTTATATATATTCCAATTTATTAATTTTTACCTGATGTTTGGGGCTCTCCAGTTACTCCACAAGAAATTTGCCACTTTTATTAAAATAATAAATTAATTTATATTTAGATATATTTTGCTTGTATGTGATATATTTTCAGATTCTTTGTATAGAAATTTCATCAAAATTGCTTCAGTACTTTACTTTTTAAATCAAAATAACTAAATTTGCAAATTTTAATATATTAATTAGCAAATTTAATAATTAATTAATAGTAATTAATTATCGATAATAATTTTATTGATATATTTTTTTTTGTGAAATAATATCAATTTTTATGTTTCAGTTGAAGAATTTCTTTCCCATACTGTATCTGATGGAAGAGAGGCTTAAGGATGGTGCCCTGAACTTGCATTCAGTACGTAAATTGGCTACGCTCTCCGCATATGAAGTGTTCAAAGATATCCTACCAGACTACCACATACGGCACCAGGATTATTCTAATGTTAAATGTGAGTACATGGAACAATACATGTATGTATCACACTGCAAAAAAAACTACTTGCATTGTGAATGCACTGATAAATTATGAGATGTTTCATAGATACCCCACGACTACATATTTCATAGTCAACAATATATTTGTTATTCTACAAAGAAAAATGGCAGTTTTATCCATCATCATCATCATCATCATCATCATCTCAGCCGTTACCTGTCCACTGTTGAACATAGGCTTCTCCCATAGATTACCAAAAGGAAACCCTACTTAAAATAGGATCTACATGGGGAAGCCCTGTTGATTGTAGGAGTAGTGAAAATCGGTTCGGACTTGACCATGGAACTACATAACATCTCACGTCTCAAGTAAAATTCAATAGAATTCTTCTTTTCTACCTTCTTGCATAAAATTTCTACATAACTTGTAAATAATTCTAAAATATTGTTCAAATAATTAAATTGTATTATTTTCAGTAAAGAAAGACACGCTCGCCTTGTACAAATATGAAAAAGAGTTGCTGGAATTTTATAAAAGATATTTACAACGACTGGAAAAAGCTGCTACAGTGTTGCGCCGGAAGAAAGGGGACACTAGGTATGAGATGTCATTTGCCATTTAATTTGGGCTTTCTATGATATTTTCTGAATAGAGATGTTAGCTTGCTTTTCATTATATTCATATTGTGTGATATGTGTTGGGCTATTTTATTTTATTATGCATGCTATGGCCACCCCAGAATTCGAGGGGACTTTCCAATTATGCGCAAAGACATATTTACAAAACGACACCTATGTACTCCCAGTACATAGGTATCGTTTTTTAAAGAGATAGTGGCGAATAATCTTAAATATGATTTAAGATGGAAATGGCTATAGAGTACTACTTTTCTTTATGCAACACAGAATGGCGAACAAGCTGACGGTACACCTGATGGAATGTGGTAACCGTCGCCATTAGACATGAGCAGTGCCATGGACATAACAGACTATACTGTTTCGCCCATTATACCGCTCATGCGTTGCCATTCCTGAGGACTCAGGTGTTATTCCTCTGTATCCTGTAAATTCACTGCCATATCCTAGCCTTCTAACAAAAACACAATCATGCAAATACAACTGCTTCGCTTTTTATCCCGTTCAATGTGAATATAAAGTCGTGAATAAAATCTAGTATTTTGTGTAAACGATTGTACAGTCTTAAAAGTGGGGCAAATTATTAGCAACCTCTCTTGCAAGTGTTGATGGGTAATGGTGTCTACTCCCTAACAAGTGGACTGTCAGCTTCTTAGCTTACATAACTGTAAAAAAGGAGAACGGATTGTTAGCAGTTGAAGGTACAATGGGTAGCAATAGGGTCATCGATTCAAATCAGGTCGTTCTCCACGTGGTTCCACTTAGAAACCATCTCGGTTAATTCCTGGTGAGTTAGTGACGATGGTCTGGTATAAACCTTGCAGGAAAGTGGACGAGGCGTCAGTGAGCTTGGCGCTGGTGTCGCTGCGCTGCATGTGCGGCGTGCTGGCGGCGCGGCCGTACTTCAACTACGCGACCAACATCGCGCAGAGCGTGGTGCCGTTCCTGGGCTGCCGCGACCCGCGCGCCGTTGACCTCGTCACCCAGTGCTGCGCCACCATCTTCGGCGAGGACAAGAAAGGCGACATCACGCTTACGGTAACTCTTATATAATACTAACGACTTGCCTTGCCAAAATTTATTTACAATGGACTCGCTTAATGTGAGTCTATCGCATGTAAATTGTTTTTATCACGTTAATCTCTGGAACTACCAGTCAGATTTTAAAGAGTTCTTTTAGCATTTTTTATTATTTTTTTATGGTTTGCGGTACAGTATTAAAGGCATCACGTCCTCGCTATTGGATACGGGTGACGGAATGCCTATACAAGAGGGTACATGGTGGACGCAGTTTAGACGCAATATTTGAGGAGCATTAGGAAGGTACTACGGCCGGATACTGCAACACATGAGTATCTGGTCAGCCCCCGAACTGACGACCTCTGCTGTCTACCGGTCTCCAATTCGAGGGACGACCGTTCTTTTAGCATTTGATAGCTCATTTCTAAGGAAGGTTTTTTTTTAATGGGTGATAATAAAATAACAACCCCACCTGCGCCAACAAAATATACTGGTGAGAATGAAAAGGCATTTCATGAGCCCATTGGAATGAATTCTCCTAAAATTAAACATAACGGTTTCTAGGGGAGCCGCGAGAGTCCAGCTAGCGAGATAAGTAATGGGGAAACTAGACCCCATTACTAACAATCCATCTCCCTTTTCTCAAGGTTATAAATTATTTAATATCAGAATATGACATTATTTATATTGCAGATAGTCCGGCTGATCAATCAGCTGGTCCGCCGGCGCGGTGAGCGGCTGCAGCCGGCGGCGCTCCGCTGCCTGCTAGCGCTGCGGATACGCGACGTCGACATGGACGCCGACGCGGAGCTGCTGCACAAAAAGCGGCAGGAGCAGAAGCACAAGAAGAGAATCGTCAACTTGTCTAAGAAGGAGAAAAAGGTTATTGAATGCATCAATGATCATTTTTTTAACATTTTTATTTTATCAATAAACTATCTCAAATTGATCATAATTGCATAATATAATGCATGGCAGGATGAAAATCAAATTGCGAAACTAATATAACTTAAATAAAATAAAAAACGACCTCTGTCTTTGCACAAATGCAATTATCTTCTACTTAAAGAAAAGTTTATTCGTAATGATCATCATCATCACCTTAAATATATTTGCTGATTTATTTGGAATGTTTTTTTCTTTATTTTTAAATGGTACATCAACAGTGTAAATACAGACATTAATATTAATTGATATACAGGGCTTGCATCTTGCATTTACACCAATTACAGATGTACACAACATTTTCTTAGGTCATCGATTACATATTAACAAAACTGACACCAACAAAACAATAAAAAAAAAACATACAAGTAACAAACATAAGAACACTTAAAATATACAATTATTAGAACAGTGCACACAGAATTAAAATTATTGGTTGTGGAAAAAATTATGGTAGTATTACGAGAGAACTTTTAGAATTTTCCTCTTGAATGACTTGGGATGGTCGTGAAATATATCAAGATTGAGGGACTCGTTACAGGAATTGTACGTGTTGATTAACCTCGAGACTGGAGCATGCAACCCCAAATTAGTTTTATGTCTGGGGATTTTAAAGACAGCTTTGCATGTTTTGTACTTATTATGCAAACCTTTCGTAAAAAAAATCTAACAATGTGAAATTCTTGTCAATATTTGTTCCATGTTTAGACAAAAATATCAACTACTACCTTTTACCCGCGACTCCGTCCGTATGATGGGAATGTTTTCTGACCTCCTTCTCCATCGCATATAGTACGTGTATACGAAATTTTATAGCGATTGTGGTTAGGCAACTAATGCGCTGTAAAGTAATAAACAAATAAACTCGCTCTCATTTTATAATATTAGTAAGATTTTTCTGTTAAAATCAATCAAAGTGTATTCCTTTGTATAAAAATTAAGAAGTAACTAAGTAGTACGAGCCCAATATAAAATGATACAAAAATTACAGCGAGCCAAAAAACTAAAAGAAGTGGAACGCGAGCTGCTGGAGACGGAGGCGCAGGAGAGCGAGGTGGCGCGGCGGCGGCTCATGACGGAGGTGACCCGCGCCGCCTTCCACATCTACTTCCGCGTCCTCAAGCACGCGCCGCACTCCACGCTCCTCGCCGCTGCGCTCGAAGGGCTTGCCAAGTAACTCATTTTATTATTATTTTTTAAATTTTTACAAAATTTATATCTCCCCTCTTAAGGAGAGGAGATGGCAAACTAACCCCCGGTAGAAGCACAGTCGGCCGGAGTTCAGGGTCCCAGGGAGAGAAACCGGCGTACAATGCGGGCAGTATCTAAGAGCACCGCTCACTGCATCTTTCCCGGGAGTGAGCCGCCTCGGAATACCAACCGTCTGAGATGTTGTTCCAGACTGGTTAGGATAAGATGTTCACTGACAAAACGATTGGATTGATTTCGGTGGACGTCATCCCCCACATTTCGGTCACCTCGTTAGCCAAGTCCAGATATTTTTTTTTTCTCAGCTTTTAGCGCTGATAAATATACTACACTTACGGGTACGTGACCATGTAACTGCAGTGTGTATGTCTGTATGGAAGGTTATGCTTGTGTATGACGGGTGGCTACTTCATCCTCATCTATATCTAAATATTTTCTGACTATTCTGCAATTATTTAATATGGCAGCCTATTGTGGGGAGATGTAGAGATTTTTTCGTAGATCTATTTGTTTTAAACTATGGTATTATTATTTTTTTTTAATCATAGACTACGGTAACCGTTTACTATCAGGTGGACTGTATGCTTGTTTGCCAACTATTGAGTTATATATATATATATATATATATATATATATATATTGGATTATAAAAAAATTATGTGATTTTGCCCACTACTTCGTATGCTTAGATGTCAGTAGTAAAACCAATGGAATAAATAACTTCTAGATAGAACATACACCAGATTTTAAGTTAGACATTCAGGAATACAAATGTTTAAACCGTATCCAATTTGCTGTAGTAATTCTTGTATGATGCCAGAACACAGACATAGACAAGCAGACAAAATTTCAAATAATTATAATTTTGTTTTGTTTGTTTATATTAAGACCTCTCATGTCATTTTGATCTCTCATGCACAGACATCGTTTAGTTACAATTTTATTATATTAGTAAGATGTAAGATTTTTTTTTTTTTTTTATACAACTTAGAATGGCAAACAAGCTTACGGCCCACCTGATGGAAAGTGGTAACCGTCGCCTATAGACATGAGCAGTACCATGGACATAACAGAGTATACTGTTTCGCCCATGTTACCCCCCATGCGTTGCCATTCCTGAGGACTCAGGTGTTATTCCTCTGTACCCAGTAAATTCATTGTCATATCCCACCCTTCAAACCGAAACACAGCCATGCAAACACAACTGCTTCACGGTTGAAACAGGAATGGGACAGAGGTACCCAAGCAATCGACTTTTGTACAAAGTCTCCCTCTGGTATGTGTATGTGTGTTTTTACATATGAAGTTGATTTCTTTATGAAGCTAATTACACTTGTTTCATACTAATTAGTAACTCCATCCGGCCAGGTTCACGCACGTGATCAACTTGGAGTACTACTCGGACTTGGTGGCAATCCTGGCGCGGCTGATTGCAGACGAGCTGGTGGGTCCTCGGCAGCGGCTGCTGTGCGTGCGGACCGTGCTGGCCCTCCTCGCGGGCGCTGGCGACGCGCTCAACGTCGACCCTGCCACCTTCCACCAGTACCTCTACCAGCACATGCTAGGCGTACATGCTGGTTAGTGACCACAGTATAACACAATACAGAACAGTATATTCAATACTTGGATTATATAGATAGAGCATTGACCCTCAAAAACGGGTCAACTTTTTATCAGCTAATTTTCAAGTTAGCTGACTCTTTTTTTATCAGTGTTTTCTATGTACTTACGCACATAATGTATTTTTACGTATCTATATTTAATTATTTAATAAATAAATTGAGTTTTTGCGCATTAAAAAGATGCAGAATTTATAAGACTATTTATAACGAAAGATTGTATGAAAAAGTTGTCCGCTTTTCTCGAAGCATTTGTATGGAGACACTCTATCTATATAAGATTAAATAATGTGTCATGACAATCTGATAGTACTACTACTACTCACGTGAGGGTGGCATCTTCTGATAAAAAAAAAATTAAAGATTATATTTGTTAAGAATTGTAGCTTAAATAAATTTCGCCTGGCAACATTTTTACAAAATAAAAAAAAGTCTGTCGGTTGTTATCGAATGTGTCGGTAGAACGTACGTTCGTTGTCGTCGTTCTCGTTTAAAAATATTATCGCACGCGTGCATATATTGCCGCGAATATCGTTTGTCTTTTCGTATCGCTTTTTTAATCATATCACACATAACCAAGAGGCTGATTGAGAGGAGGGCATTGCACTGCTGGTCGGTTCAAGGCGGTGGATAGGTAACCTGGATCTGAGGGTAAGTTCGAACGAGCCAGAAGTACTGGGAAGCCTAAAGCCAGAACCGAATCCTGCTAACTACAAAGTTTCAGGTCAGTGGTCTCCACTTTAATTATCCTCTTGTGTTTCTTATGTTAACTACCACCATTGTATTAAAATTTCATACAGTCCACTAATAACCGTTGCCGGACGATTAATTTCATTTTTTGTAAGATCTTATTTTACGAACGGTCAACATTTTGTTGGCCCTTCGGCGAATTTTGTTGTAAGGCGATCTTTGGATAATTTAGTGTAATTTCGAGTTTAAAAAACTAATTTTCGTAATTCTTTCGCATTATTAATTTTTTGTAAAAATAAGTGGGTACTTTTACATCATACATTAGCAATCAGGATTTCTTCCATTTTGACGCCATATTGCGTTTCGTTGTATTAATTTCATGAAACGTTTTGTTCCATCATTTGTCGCAATAAATCTCGCCGATCGTTTTTATTGAAATAACTTTTTGCAAAATAATAAAAACATTATTCATTGAATATAAATAAATATTTTCATTGTTAATATTGATAATTTAAAAATCGTAATTCTTTATCTAAAATATTTAAATTGATTTTGCGCTAATAAAACTTATCGTTTCAGAACGTATCTTAAAAGTGACTGTCAATGTAAAAATTGATTGTCATATTTTGTTTTCGTAATTTGGTTGTCAATTTCGTTTGTTTTGATTTTGTTGTTTGTTATTTTCCAAGTTATTTCATTTTATTTGGATATTGCGTTGTAATTAAAAAATAGTTATTTTGTTAAACAATGGAAACCAGTCGTTCATCGTTGGATGCAGGCGATAGAAATCGCATTGGGCGTGATTATGCTTTTGCCCGCATAGAAATGATGGAGGGCACCGATTTAATTGGTTATAGTTTACAGGATGTAAAGGATATTGAGGATGATTTCCATAAGTCACAGTTGGAACTATTAACATCGTTGTCCGGGAGTGATACATCCAGTGAATTAAAATTGTCATTTCGTTTTGAGCAAATAGTAAAATCAATAAAACATCGTTTGAAAAATATAGAACAGAAACCTGTTATATCGTCTAGTGGTAGTAGTAATATGAAATTACCCAGAATTATTATAAAACCCTTTGACAGCCGTATTGAAAATTGGGTCTCTTTTATTCAGTTGTTCGACTCACTAATTCACTGTAAAGAGATAGCACCAGTAGAAAAACTTCATTACTTATTGTCAAATGTTCAAGGTGAAGCTTTAGATTTAATAAAAAATTATCCCCTTTGTGATGAAAACTATTTGTTAGCATATAACACCTTAAAACACAAATATGAACAAAAAAGAGTCATCGCTACTGTCTTTTATGAAAGATTATTAAATTGTGAATCAGTGAAGTCAAAGAGTAGCTTAGAATTAAACAGAATTTGTCGAACATTTAAAGAAAATTTAGATATACTTTCGAAATACCAGTTACCTGATAGTAATTTCATGTTATTTAATTTGTTGTGGAGTAAATTGGATGCAGTAACAAGGGAAGCATTTGAGTTACAACTGGATTCAAATGTTGATATACCTAAATATGAAAATTTAATTAACTTCATAGAAAAAAGAAGTCGAGCCTTGGAGAATTCAAACACATCAAAGTCAAATATTATTACTAGTAAACCAACAATTGGGTCAAAACCATCGCTTATTGTGCCTTCGGTTAACTGTATTGCTTGTTCTTCTTCCAGTCATAGTGTGGAGAAGTGTTCAAAATTCAATAGCTTGTCACCCTTTGAAAGATTCTCTTTAATAAAAGAAAATAAACTGTGTATTGGATGTTTTCGGCCCTCACATATTGTAAAGAATTGTAGAACATTTAGCAATTGTTCTAAGTGTAAATATGGACATCACACTTTACTTCATTTTGACAAAGGTGATAATACAGAGCTTTCACCGCAAGCTTCAGCAGTTACCACCACCTTGGCTGTATTGGGCACTGAAACTCAAGTTTTGTTTTCAACTGCAGTTGTTCTCATTAAAACTAAATTAAATAAATGGACACCTATTCGTATTCTTTTGGATAGTGCTAGTGCTTGCAATTTTATTACACACACCTGTGCAAGGAAACTTGGACTTCACATTGGGAATACCAAACAATCTGTTAGTGGTATTGGTCATGTGTCAGCGGACACACTTGGATCAGTCGCTTGTGAAATTATTCCATCAAATGGTGATGTCACTTGTAAATTTTCATTTGAAGCTTTTGTTTTACCAAAGATTTGTTCAGATATGCCATCCGGACAAATTGATGTCTCGGCTTGGAAACATATTCTGGATTTGGATCTTGCTGATCCCTCGTTCCACATACCTGGACCTATCGATATGTTAGTTAGTGTTAACATTTTGACATCAGCACTTCAAGAAGGCCTTGTCAAAGGCAATGTAGGTCAGCCCATTGCTGTTAGCACTGTATTCGGCTGGGTAGTGATGGGAGAATGTGCTACTCATGTTGATTCTTATCGTTCTCATCGTGTCTCTAGTTCCACAAACAATGATTGTCTCTTTGTTTCAAGTTGGTCTTTGGACAGCAATATTAAACGTTTTTGGGAATTAGAAACTATTGATCCCCCCAAATCTGTCGTACTTTCGAAATCAGAATTATCGTGTGAAAACTATATGAACGCTTCATATTGTCGTAGTCCTGAAGGTAGGATGGTAGTACCATTAACTTTCGTTGACCCTCAGGCGAAGCCCAAGTTTTGTAATTCTCGTGAGATTGCTCTCAAGCGTCTTTTAAATTTGGAGAGGAAATTTAAAACAAACCCTCTATTTCGGACTGCTTATGTCAAATTCATGGATGACTATTTTCAAAGTGGTCACATGGAGGAAGTTGAACCACCTTCATCGAATGATGGTAATTTTTATTACATTCCGCATCATGGAGTGATGCGGCCTGACTCGGCTACTACTCCTTTGCGTACAGTATTCGATGCAAGCGCCAAGGATACTACAGGAAGGTCCTTAAATGATTCTTTATTACCGGGCCCTAAGCTGCAAAAGAACATTTTTGACTTGTTAGTCAGATTTCGTTGGCATGCAGTTGTGTTCACTGCAGATATCAAGCAGATGTATCGTCAATTTCTTGTTCATCTTCGAGACTGTGATTATCAACGCATTTTGTGGCGTCCTTCTCCTAATGATCCTGTTAGGGATTTTCGATTACTCACAGTGACTTATGGTGTATCCTGTGCCCCATATCAGGCTCTTTGGTGCATTGCTAGGTTGGCAAAGGAATTTTCGTCTCTTGCTTCACGTGGTAGTGCAGTATTAGCTAGAGATACTTATGTTGATGACGTCGTATCAGGCGCCGATTCTGTAGAGAATGCTCTGCAAATACGTCAGGAATTAGTAGAAATTTTGTCGTCGGGTCATCTTCACTTGCGTAAATGGACTTCAAACTGTCCAGAATTTCTAGAAAAGGTGTCAGATTCCGACTTGTACTCGGAGCAACTTCGTGATTTTGAAGATGTTCGTGATGTTTCGGTTAAAATATTGGGTCTTTCATGGTTTCCTGGGGATGATCTTTTTACATTTAAGACATCTTCCAGTGATACTCGTTGTACCAAGCGATCCATTCTGTCGGACATCGCTAGAATCTTCGACCCATTGGGTTTGTTAGCACCAGTGGTATTTCTGGCAAAATATTTGATACAACTTTTGTGGTTATCGGGTGTCGATTGGGATAGTGATGCTCCCGTCACTATCAGTCAAGAGTGGTCTAAATTTAAATCACAATTGTCGTCGTTAAGTTCGTTTTCCATTCCTCGCAGAATGGTCGAGTCTTTCGAGTCATTACAACTCCATGGGTTCTGTGATGCCTCGGAAAGAGGTTATTGTGCCGTCATATATTGTCGTGTCGTTAAGAATGATGGTTCTGTCGTCGTGCGCTTGTGTTGTGCAAAATCAAAGGTAGCTCCTCTACGTAAGTGCTCAATTCCACGTTTGGAATTGTTAGCAGCTGTCTTATTGTCGGACTTAATTTGCTCATTTGTCGATGCTTTAAAAGAGTTTTATCCCTTTAGTAATATTTATGCTTGGTCAGATTCAACTGTCGCTCTGACTTGGATTCGTGCTTGTCCATCTAAATGGAAAACTTTCGTGGCTAATAGAGTGGTAAATATTCAGGAGAAAGTCCCTCCGCAAAATTGGCATCACGTTTCTGGGTTTGAAAATCCAGCGGATTGTGGTTCTCGCGGCTTACTTCCTGTTGATTTAGTTCAGAATACGTTATGGTGGGCGGGACCTGCCTGGCTCTCCAACCCTGAAGTGTCGTGGCCACATTCAGAGATGTCGTTCGATCAAGCCGCTGCTGATGAACAAAAGATTTATAGTCTTTTCACAGCCTCTAATATGTCGTTTATAGATGATTTATTAAATAGATTCTCGTCGTTACAGCGCGCCTTGCGTATTTTGGCTTATTGTTTTAGATATATTCATAATTTGCAAAACCCTATGCTGAAAAATAATTGTAATTTGTCGGGTGCAGAGATAAATCAAGCGTTTCGTTTTCTAGTGAGGCATGTTCAGGAGCGTTGTTTTGCATCAGAATTTTGTAGTTTATCGAAGGAAGGATCGTCGCTTTCCATTTCCAAACCCATTCGAAAGTTGTCTCCATTCTTGGATGAACATGGTCTTTTGAGGGTGGGCGGTCGGCTTTCCAGGGGAGGCCTAACTTGTGATGTCAAACATCCAATTTTATTGCCTCGTAGTCATGGATTAACAACACTCGTTATCGAGGAGTGTCATCATCGGTTTGTGCACCCTGGTGTGCGGGCTTTGAAGGGCTTATTATCTCAAGAGTTTTGGATGTTGTCTTCGAGGAGAGCTATTCATGCAGTGGTGTCCTCGTGTGTGGAATGCTTTCGTGCTCGTCCTGGAGTTGCGGCGCCACCTATCATGGGTGACTTGCCGGCGTGTCGTGTCGGTCAGGTGGGGCCATTTTCGGTTTCGGCGGTCGACTGTGCTGGTCCTTTCGATATTGGTTTGGGTCGTGGTCGTGGTACACGTGCATTTGAATCGTACGTATGTGTTTTTGTATGCACTGCCGCCGGGGCGGTGCACCTTGAACTCGTGTCTGAGTTAACTGCGGAGGCGTGCCTGGCGGCTTTGGGGCGCTTTATCGCTCGGCGCGGTCGTTGCTTTCGGTTGATTTCGGATCAAGGTGGAAATTTTATCGGTGCAGCGAATGTATTGCATGGCTTGCTGCGGAGTGCTGCGCATGTGGAGCGGATTGAATTTGTCTTTGATCCACCCGGTGGTCCGCATTTTTCCGGTTTGGCAGAGGCTGGTGTGAAGTCGGTGGGGACTCATTTGTCTCGTGTAGTGGGTGTGCAGCGTCTTGCTTTCGAAGAGTTTTGTGCCGTCTTGGCTCGAATGGAGGCCATGTTAAACTCAAGACCTCTATCGCCTATCAGTTCGGATCCCAATGACTTTTCGGTGTTGACTCCTGGTCATTTTCTCACCATGGAACCTCTCACTATATTACCTGAAAGTAATCTAGTTGATATAAAATTGGGACCGTTGCAGCGTTGGAAATTGCTACAAAAAATCCATCAGGATTTCTGGCGCAAGTGGCATTTAGAGTACTTGCATACCTTGCAGTCGCGTCTCAAATGGTACAACAAACAACAGGAGATTGATGTCGGCACTCTTGTTCTCATTGTCAATGAGCAATGCAGTCCAATGAAATGGAGGATTGGTCGAGTAGTCAAACTTCACCGTGGTACTGATGGAGTTTGTAGAGTCGTTACCATTCGAACCAATTCTGGTGAATGTAAGAGGCCAGTCGTTAAACTGTGCCCTCTACCGTTATCAAATTAAAGACCTTTGTTAAATTTTTGTCGTTTAACTTGTCGTTATTTATCGTTAAATTAATTGTGTCGTTTGAAAGGAAACCTATTGCTAATGTGTAATTAGGAAAATATGTTGTATTTTGGTGGGCGGAATGTTAAGAATTGTAGCTTAAATAAATTTCGCCTGGCAACATTTTTACAAAATAAAAAAAAGTCTGTCGGTTGTTATCGAATGTGTCGGTAGAACGTACGTTCGTTGTCGTCGTTCTCGTTTAAAAATATTATCGCACGCGTGCATATATTGCCGCGAATATCGTTTGTCTTTTCGTATCGCTTTTTTAATCATATCACACATAACCAAGAGGCTGATTGAGAGGAGGGCATTGCACTGCTGGTCGGTTCAAGGCGGTGGATAGGTAACCTGGATCTGAGGGTAAGTTCGAACGAGCCAGAAGTACTGGGAAGCCTAAAGCCAGAACCGAATCCTGCTAACTACAAAGTTTCAGGTCAGTGGTCTCCACTTTAATTATCCTCTTGTGTTTCTTATGTTAACTACCACCATTGTATTAAAATTTCATACAGTCCACTAATAACCGTTGCCGGACGATTAATTTCATTTTTTGTAAGATCTTATTTTACGAACGGTCAACAATATTTATTATTCATTTTGCATGCAAACTGAATGTGTAATGAATGTAATATTTATACGCTTCCACCCTGGAAGGGGCAGGTTGGTCAAAATGAAAAAAGCTAATTCAGATGGTGTTGAATCAGATGGCTGATTACTTTCCCACCGGAAATGCACCACAGCTATATCTTATATATAAAATTCTCGTGTCACGGTGTTTGTTACCAAACTCCTCCGAAACGGCTTTACCGATTTTCATGAAATTTTGTGTGCATATTCGGTAGGTCTGAGAATCGGCCAACATCTATTTTTTATACCCCTCAATGATAAGGGTGACCCACCTCTAAAAAATTTTTTTTTATTTTTTTGACAAAATTTTTTAGTTTTATTTAAATGTGATTTATCATTGAAAAATACATACAAATTCAAATTTTCACCCTTTTACGATCAACCCCTGTTTTGTAAGCGCGATTTTTATATTCCGCAATAAGTGGTAAAACAACGTTTACGAGGTCAGCTAGTAATTAATAATATTTAGTTTTGACGCCGCACAATGTATTTTAAATTTTACGATCCACACGACGAGTAAAAGACGAATTTCTTATCAGGTGAATTTTATTTTAAAATTGAAGATATCATGAACATAGCTATATAAGCACGGTACCTTTGCCTTTATCTCACAAAAAGACTAAAATGTTCTTTTAGGCTCAACTCATGAAGATGCGAAGATTATAGTGGAGGCAGTGTGGCAAGTATGCTCGCGTGCGCGGCGCGTCTCGTCGAATGTGTTACTAGCGATCGCTAAGCGACTGCTCACCGCCAGCTTGCAGCTGGAGCCGCATGCAGCACTCGCCTGCCTGCTGTTGCTGCAACGGCTTGCTCAGGTACTTACTATTCAGTGAGGGCTTTATGACCTTGATTATATTATAAATCATTCTTGATTATGAATTTATTTGAACATTTGATTATATTTGACATTATTTTAAAACGTGACCGTAGCAGACATAAATAATTGCAATGCAGTATGATTCACAATGGCTGTGTGGTCCCGGCATAGAATAGGTCTCCCATTCCTTTCATGTGTGTATCATAAGTGCCGGCTAAGCGAGGACAATGAATGGGCAACAGCGTCCCACTTAAAACATTTCTAAAGCCCAGACTGCGATTGCCAATCCGGCTATCAAGCATGGCAACTAATGGTAAAACCTCCTCAAGCGGGAGGCTTATGTTCAGCAGTGGACAATTAAAGGCTACATGATGATGACTTATAATAGCTGTTATTTGACAGTCACATTTTAATTTCTATATTAAATTTTTACTACAAGATATTATTCTCTGAGACTTGCTTACTCAAATTACATTTTCCTTTTTAAAATTAAATACAAAATTAAAATGAGAGAAGTTTGTAATGTTAGTTGTTATCTAGTACTACTCGGTATTCATTGATATCGATATGTTTTAAAGTAAATAAAAGAATGCTGGATGGTACCTTAAAAGATTGGCGTGGGAATGGTTCATACTATTTTCAATAGATTCGAAGAATAGGTCGATACTGTTAGAAGAACGAATGTACTCAATAATGAAATGTTGTACAATAGCAAAGCAAGCCGGTGGCGTCGCTCCTCGAGCAGGAGGGCGAGGCCGCTGGCTCGGGTCGCTTCGATCCGTGGCTGCCGTCGGCCGAGCACTGCGGCGCGCAGGCGGCGGCCGCGCACGAGCTGGCGGCGCTGCGCGCGCACCACCAGCCCGCGCTCTGCCGCGCCGCGCGCCTGCTGCCGCACACCGCGCCGCCCGACCTCGGCAAGCTGTGAGTGCACTCGCCTCGCAATCGGGGAAATAGCGCTTGTTACTCATATAAACCTTATCAGGTCGTTCTACACACGGTCGCTGTGGCCTTACTACTTCTTACTACTTTTATCTTGACCGTTCAGCACGTCGCCTCTTCGGTCGACACACGCCCATCCAGGGCCCTATCAACATTTCATCGATTTAGAATAAACCTATGGTTCTCTTTTATACGTTTAATTTAGAACGTGGAATTGAGGCAAATAATTAGAATTAAAAGTTGTTTTTTAATTACGAAATAGATTAGTTTTTAAGTTTACTGCGTAGATTTACGCCACTTAAAATGACAAACAAGCTGACGGCTCACCTGATGGAAAGTGTTAAGCATCACCTATAGACATGAGACCATGGTCACAACAGAGTATACTGCTTCGCCCCCATGTGTTGCTGTTCCTGAGGACTCAGGTGTTATTCCTCTTATTATTTCGTGTTATTACCCTGCAAATTCACTACCATATCCCATCTTTCAAACCAAAACACAGCCATGCAAACATAATTGCTTCACGGTTGAAACACAAATGAGACAGAGGTGCCTAAGCAAACGAATTTTGTACAGTCATCTTTAGTTAAACCAATTTTCTTAGCTGATACAAATATATTGATCGTTAATGTTGTTCCAGCACCCCAATACAAGTGTTCGAGCAGTACGACGGCTCACAGATGGCGTTCAAGCCGCCGGTGCCACCGCCAACCCGTATCGTTTCCAAGCCGAAGGTCCACCATCATCACGTGTGGGCACAGCCCACATTCAAACAGTACTGCGAGCAAGTTGAAAACAATATTGACATGACTACACCTTTCAGTAATAGATGATGTAAAAAATAAATAGATAAAAATTGGTTTCTGTTTTTTATTATCAAAATACATAAACCTTACACTATAATATGCTATATTAATCCACCATAAGACTTTAGAAATGTACGAATGAACATAAACCATTGAAATAAAATGGTAGTTTAATATCAGTTAAATTACAAGTATTATGAACAATTTTAAACAACTGTGACTCAAAGTTCTTGAGATATCATTATGTGAAATTAATGGTAGGGGATTTGTATAAAATAGGTCTAGGGTGAAATTTAATTGATTATCCTGTTTTACAGTACGAGATAATGTAGATCCTACAATTAAATTACAAACAACACTTATCAATGTAATTTTTATAGTAAGAAATGACAGTCTAGGATTATAAAAGGATTGTAAGCATCCGGCTTGTGGCTTCTCTTTGATATGAGTTATTGCGATTTTTTGCCTCTTGTCCATGGTACCCATCAGGCGAAAGAATTTAAACTTATTATTTATCGATAAACACGTTATCAACTTCAGATTTAGTACTAGCTAGCTAATTATAAAGACAGTAAATATGTCTGCTCGAAGTGGCAAAACAAGTATATCGGGGTAAATCGGGCACATGGTGATGGTGGTAAAAACATTCCATCCGTTCTACAGCATTCGTTCCCAGGAAGCCACGGTGGTCCGTACCAGCTCGAGACGCCGGTCCCGAGCGACCTGCAGCACGCGCTGCATCTCCGCCTGTTGAGACACCACGTACCGTTGCAGCTCACCCAACTTCGTCTGCCATCTGTAAAATAGGAAGTGAAACTGGATTTACTATATTGTAGTAGATTATTATTTTCCTGCCATTACCCCAATTACATACATTTTGAAATTGGCGTAATATACGTTTAATAATGTGGATAAAATTAAAAGCTTTTAAATGTTACGACCGCCTGCCTGACAGACGTCAATCCTCCTTGGGAATGCACTTGTTGATAGTATCCAGCACCTACAGTATGAAGGAAAGTATCGAGGAAAAAGGAGGGAAACTGAGAGTGAATAAAGGAAGTTGGTAGAAAAATGATTTTTAGGGAAAAGGAGTCACTGCAAGTGGGGAGGGGATATTGGTTAGAAACTACAGCGGCTATGGAGCCTAAGACTGCACAATATTTACTACACTGTAGATTTTTTAACTGACTCCTATTTTTGTAGTTCTCTGTCTCTTAATTTAGGGACATGGAGTTACTGTTTGGTATTGCTTCACTTTATCGAATCGATTATGTAAATTATGTTATGGAATTGTTTTCTTTAGAAGTCTATTTGTTACTGTATATGCTACAATTTTAAGAGCAAGTTTGTTAGGATGTATGTATAATTTTTATATAATTATGCCATTTCTTTTATTTCATTTTTGACTAGTCATATCCTAATATCCTTATGAATTACTTTATTAGATATATACATTTGATTATAATAAAATTTATTTGCTTCAATCTCCATAATGACCTATTTCAAGCAACACTGAAGAGTTCTATATGTAGTAATGTTTCTAGATGTCTAAGAATAGAGACTTCATTGTCAGAAATATTAAAAACATAGTGCAGAGTATAAACATTCCAAATATAACTGCAACAGTTTTCAGAAATACTCACGCAACATCCTGTTTCTCCCAGAAGTCTAGCTCACTGTCCACTCTCGCATATTCCTCCTGGTGACTCCTCAGGTCGTCTAGACGGCTGGCTACCTCCTGCTCCTCCGCGGACCAGGCTGCAGCTTCAACGGCCTCCTTGGCCGCTTCCGCCTCGAGGCACTGTTGCTCGCGGTGTAGTAGCGCTTTGATATCAGCAATTTTTGTACGCGTTTCTTCCTATTGAATCAAATTTACATATGTAAATAATTTAATGACCCAAAATATGTAGCAGCCAGCCAGCAATATCTGACTGAATATGAACAGTTTGTACAAGGACTGTCTCTGCTTGGGTAACACTGTCCAGTATGTCTATACTTGTAATTCTGCTGTGAAGCAGCTACTGTTATGCTTATATGGCTGTGTGCTACTCGTATATGAAGGATGAGGTATAGCAATGACATTAAGTAAGGAAGCATAAGATCATACTTTATACGAATGACAACACATCTAGGAGTACTATGACTATCATTCTTAGGTTGCTGTTTGTGTCAATAGGCAATGTATACCATTTTCCAACACTGTTTCCCTAAGTATTATAATCCCTCCATGTCAGGCCGCTACGTACCAGCAGGGCGGCGCGCCTCCTGCCGCCGGCGGCGCGTTCGCGGGCGGCAGCGGCGCGCCGCGCCACCAGCGCTCCTTCAAGCGCCCGCAGCGCTGCAGTCGCCTCGCTCACTCGCGTTGCACACTCCGCCTCCATCAGCTCCCTGCCGGTTACCACATTCTTTACGTTCCAATTTCAAGATAATAACAGTTCTATTTTCAAATTTTAAAATCTTATTTTCTCATAAAAAGAATTTAAAATTGTCACTGAGGCAACTATATAATGTTCTAAATTCAAATTTCATTTTATTTCGTATTCTTTTAAATTACAGTTATTTTTTAAAACTACTGTCACTGAAGCAACATTACAATGTTCTAATTTTAAAACTTACTTGTAAATATGAATAAGTTATTTGACTGAGTTAAACAATATCTAGGTTCAAACGTCATTTCAGCCATTATCCATCCACTGTTGATCATAAGCCTCCCCCATAAACTGTTATAAACAATGGTCCTGACTCACCTGCATCCAAATTCAAACACATACGACAGTTATTTAAATTACGTACTTTTCATCAATGGCCAACTTGGCAAGATCGGGGAACTGTGCTGATAAATGTATGAGACCCTGCTTGTACTCCACGCAGCTGTCCAGGGTCTTCTTCTGCCAGAGGGCCAGTTCTGTCTCTTTGCTCAGCACCATCTAACATAGCAATAAATTATTACTGATAATTAATTATAACGGTAATAATACTCTCATATAATTAACTAATTTGTGAAATCGTAACTATGTATTTTAAACTTTTGAATTTAAAGTTTCCATCATCATGAAGTCGCAAAATTAATCTAATCATTTGGTCCTTCGAGCCGGATTAATTATGAACATTTCTGTATCAGCGGTGGCTGCCAGCAGGCGCGGCGTACCTTGGCGATCTGGTCGGCGAGCGCCCGCTTGGAGTCCTGCACGCGCAGCGCGTAGTCGACGTCGTCCAGCAGCCGCGTGCGCTCCGCCACGCTCATGCGCTGCGCCTCCAGCTCGCGGCGCAGCTCGCTGCTCTGCGCGCTGTCAGGGCAACCTCACTCATTTATCTCCTAGTATATACGCAGCAGCGGAGCGCTGGGGTTCTCGTCGGCGGTATTTCGGCTCATAAAAATAACGCAAAGTTTGATATATGGGTTGTTTGGTTGTCTTTATTCCTATCGTTACATAATCTACTGAAGATACCCTGCTAGCATACAGATATCGTAGGCGTGGGGTTCCCATTATAATATTACTATTGTTAAAAAAATGTAAATGTACTTGGCGCGGTCGATGTCGGCGTCGAGCAGGCGCAGCGCGGCGGCGTGGTCGGCGGCGGCGGCGCGGGCGGCGGCGGCGCGCGCGGCCGCGTCGGCGCGGGCGGCGTGCAGCGCGCGTGCGGCCGCGGCCAGCGCGGCGCGCCGCTCGCCGCGCCGAGCCTCGTCGGCGCGCGCCGCCGCCTCCGCCTCGTCCTCCAGGCACGCGCGGTACTCTGCACACCGATACTCACACTGAGACGCGTTCTCTACACCAGGGGTTCCCAAACTTATTTTGTCTCCTGCCCACTTTGAAAATAAATTATTTTTTAGCGTCCCCATTTTTTCACCTACTTAAAAACCACCATTGGTTCAAGATCAACAAATCACCCCCCAAGCCTCTACACAACGCCCCGTTTTTTCTGAGTCTCTTACCGTGCCCCTATAGACCTGCAGTGCCCACAAGGGAGCGTTATCGCCCACTTTGGAAAAGGCTGTTCTACAGCGTTCAAAAATAAAAAAGCTCCCAAAGTTACGCGTGACTGGCTTTCACTCGCGTCTTTGTACACTCGACTAAAATATGTTCACTACCCAGTATAAAAAACCCATAGCCTTCTCCTTCCCATATATAATAATTGTTGGTGTTGTAAAATCTTTATTAAACATATTTTACATTGGACACATTAAAAAGATTTACAATGAAGGACTTATTCCATAGAGGAATTTATTACAGTCAACCTTTGAGAGGCTGAAAGAAAAATATAGAATGATCGAGAATAAAAACTATACAGATAAAGATAAAACTAAAAATAGTGTGTGTGTACTAAATTTCAGAAAGATTGGTTAAGTCGTTGAGAACCTAAGAGATAATCATCTTCCTACCCAATTATTATCTGTGGTCGGCGTAATATGGTTTTATCCATATTACTAAAGGATTTGGCTTATAGTTTTACGACCGGCCGCCTGCCTGACGTCAACCATCTTTGGGACTAAGAGATACAAAATATTTATAATATTTAATAAACGATAATATAAGAGATTACATAATATCCTTACCAAATCTAATTTTGATACTTCTTTGTATTGTCAATATCACTTTTTTTGTATTAATCCAATAAATTATTTTTCCAACATTAATGATTTTTACCACTAAATTCAATTACAAATAATGTAAAGTTCAATCAACCATTTTATAATATAAAACCCTTAAATAATACGTGCAATAATATCTAAAAAATTTAATTTAATTGTAATCTAAAAAATTTACGATGATTCGGAAAATAATATTCATATATATATATATATATAAATACAGATTCACACATAATGATAAAAGTAACATACGACTTATAATCTGCTCCAACTCATTAATTTTCTCGTCATCGTTGCCCAGTAGCGCCTTCAAGTTCTGCAAGTACTCCTCATTCAAGTCTTCAAACTTATGCCCGGGGTCTTGAAACCTGTTCAATAGATATTTTTATTTAAAACATTATATGACTAAAGTAAATACTTTTACAAGCATATAACCTACCTAATAGGGGGGAAAGGGGTTGTTAGCAATGGAGTTTGACAGCCCCATTGCTAGCAACATGCTCTATCTGGTCGACCTCCACGTGGTTCCCCCTGGAAACCATCGTGAACAATTCTTGTTGAATTCGTCACGATGGGCTATAAAAGTATTAATTTATAATGTTATGTGATTATTTATTATATATCTTTATTGCACTAAAACATACAATAATAACAAGAAGTTAACAACAATGTTAGCAAAGGCGAACTTATGTTCAAGTATGGTACTGCTCATGTCTATAGGTGACGGTTACCACTTTCCATCTGGTGAGCCGGCAGCTTGTTTGCCATTCTAAATCGTATAAAAAAAAAATTTTCAAGTTATGATTATACATTTTACCTGATCCAACACTTGGAAAGGTAATCCCGTCGTAAGCACGCCAACTCATCTTTCCTTACATACAGCCACTCATCAGTCACGGGTAGCTCCTAAAACAAATATATATACATTTTTTTTTCATAAGACGACAACACAGTGTGTTTGTGTTCAGAGATTTAGGTTCTAATATTACTTCTAGTTAAGGTAAATATTTTTAATATAAAATTATATATAATATAAAATTATGACTGTAAAGCTCATCCAGTTGATGAAATAAATAAATAAATTGTTCCTTTCTCATCTCATTAAAAAATTGCCTCTTAAAAGTACAATTCTTTAAACAGGAAATTCAAACAAAAATAAATCATGCTATACATACTCGCTCCGCCGCGCAAAACAAGCTAGCCACTACTCGAGCAAAAAATTACAATGGCGAGCGAACGAGCGCCTACCTTATACCGCGATTAATAAATTCTCTACCTACCGACTTGCGAAACAATATCACTGTTAAAAACATAAAGTTTAAACTGAAAGCTTACTGTCCAACCTTGCTGAAACAGCAGAATATGAATGTAAATATTGACATTTGAGAACCAAATGTAAAGTATCACACACAAGCCCAAGAGGTTTAAGTGGTACTAAAAATCCAGTTTTTTTTTTAATGTATTTATGCATGCTAATTAAATAAAAAAAAAAAAAGAAAAAAAAATCAAATATTACAATCACTCCAATTAATAAAAGGCTTATTTAAAACACTAATAAGGGATACTTGCGACGTGGTTGACGAGGTCGAGCAGGTAGGCGATGAGCGCGAGCGCGTGCGGGAAGGCGTGCAGCGTGTTGACCGTCTTCAGCCACGACTTGGACACCACGCCCGGGTACAGCAGCCGCTTCGCCACATATGGCAACTGTTGGAGACATCAGGAAATACAATTATCTCTATTGTTAGCAATATACCGAGGTAAGGTTGACCTTACCAGAGTCGATTGCTTGGGTACCTCTGTCCCATTCGTGTTTCAACCGGGAAGCAGTTGTGTTTGCATGGCTGTGTTTCGGTTTAAAGGGTGGGATATAGCGTGAATTTACTGGGTACAGAGGAATAACACCTGAGTCCTCAGGAATGGCAACGCATGGGGGGTATCATGGGAGAAACAGTATAGTTTTTTATATCCATTGTACTGCTCATGTCTATAGACGACGGTTACCACTTTCCATCAGGTGGGCCGTTAGCTTGTTTGCCATTCTAAATTGTATAAAAAAAAAACCTTCACACAGTCCTCTCTAAATACCATCGCAATTAAGGAGAAAGGAGTTAATTGTAATTCTTATCTCCTATACTCTTCACAGCTCTGGAACATGTTTCCTGATACCATTAAGACACTATCAACTAAACAGTTTAAAAAAAACATTCATGCTCACTTTTTTATCTGAGCAGTAAGTTACTTTATATTATTCTCAATTTCGTGTATAATATAGTACATGTTATATATGTGTAAGTATATTTGTTATTTATATATATGTATTCATTTATATATGTAATTTTAGTATGTATGTATATCAATAATTACTAGTGCCGCATTCAAGGTTATATGGTTTTTTTAATGGGTGACAATGAAATGGCAACCCCACCCGTGCTATCGGTATAAATCGGCGGGGCTCCAGTAAAGGATGATAGGTGAGGATGAAGCAGGTCAGTTAGCCCATCGAACAAGAATTGTTCACGATGGTTTCCAGAGGAACCACGTGGAGGCAATATAATAGGGCATATTGATAGCAATGAGGCTGTCAAACTCCATTGCTAACAATCCCTTTCCCCCCTACTTCCCTATGATTGGGAGAGAATGCTGTTAGCATTAAGTCCGCCATGTAAACATATATGTACTAATGAATAAATAATTAAAAGGAAAGGGGAAAAGAAATTATTGATAATGAAGTGTAACAGTTGCATGTGGTTCTCCCTGGAAAGCACGGTAGTGAACTGTCAATGTATGGTTATGGTACCTTAGTGACGTAGTTGTCGGTGTTGAGCCTGGTGTCGGTCACGAGCGCGGCCAGCAGCGCGGCGGCCACGTCCACGAAGCGGGCGATGGTGAGCGGCCGCAGCAGCGCCCCGCCGCCGCCGCCGCCGCCGGCCGCCGCGTCGCGGGCCGCCAGCGCCTCGGCCACGCGTGCTGCCGCCGCCCGCTGCCAAACCACGTTCGATATCTGTCTGCACACACATACATACATACATACATACATACACTACGCATAACTTTCTTACATTCACTACATACATACACTTTATGAGACAATAAACATTCCAGCAGTCAAACTTAGTACAAATATAAATATTACAAGGTAACAGAAAACTAGGCGACTTTGTTAAGAAAAGTTATCTCTTCCACAGAACCTTTAAATGGAGAGGAGTGATTATAAACAGTTTAGTTGGAAATATGATAATACTGTCTGTTTTTAAACATATATAGAAATATAATACATTCAAAAATGTGTATATGTATGTATATGCATATATATATCTTTGTATATATTTGTTTATATATAATAGTCCGTCACCTACCATTTGTTTTTCTTTCTTTTCTTAATGTCCTCTACCTAAAGGTTGTCTGGAGAAGAAGAAGAAAAAGAGATTGCTAAGCGATGAGGCCGCCTTTTGTATCATTTCTTATTACAGTTAAATGTATTTACTATTTTATAAATAGTGTAATAAAGTGTAAATAAATATACAAATGTACATTTTAACTGATACATATCTAGATAAATATATACAAATCCTATTAATATAATAATCCTATTTATATAATCAATGCGAAAATTTATAACCACATGAATAGATGGATATTTGTTACTCTTTCACGCAAAAACTTCTGAACAGATTTGAATGAAATTTGGTACATGTGGAGATTATATCCTAACTTAGCACATGGGATACCAAATGCACTGATTCATCGAGTCAGTTGCCATATACAGCAGTACAGAAATTGTACTCGTACATGTACCAGTTATTGGACCCCATGCCTATTAGTGAAAGGGAGGCATTGCCAGCCTCTCAAGTTTCTAGTACAACTCCAGTTTGCACAGAACTATGTGATCAATATAAAATAAACTGCAGTGATCTTCCATAGTACTTTTGTGATCAGTGTTATGTGTTTCAGCTCACTATTTCACAATTATAAACATAACTCTCTCCTGTTGTATGTGTACTTTTAAGTTTGTGTATGTTTATGTATGTATTTGTTTATGTATATATATGTATATACATATATATATGTATATATCTTTGTATATATTTGTTTATATATAATAGTACTAATATAATAGTGCGCCACCTACCCTTTGTTTTTCTTTCTCTTTCTCAATGTTCTCTACCCAAAGGTTGTCTGGAAGAGATTGCTTAGCGATAAGGCCGCCTTTTGTATCATTTCTTATTACAGTTAAATGTGTTTACTATTTTATAAATGATGCAATAAAGTGTACATAAATAAACTATTTAAAAAAAATATACATGACATTTAGATGATATTGGATTTATATTGATTTTATAAAAAAAAGTTAAATAATGATAAAAGCTAACTCATTTTGAGAACTAGAGAATAATAGTGGAAATGTTAGTCTAATAAGGTATCTATTTTTTAAATAAAATTATGCAATCACAGCCTCTTTACAAAAACTAATAAGATTTCAATTTATTCTACACTCCTCGCAAAAATTAAGGGAACATAAAAATTTTTGAAATTTTTGGGTGATTTTCAACAGGCTGTATTTCAGTGAAAAATAATCGTACAGGAAATTAAAAAAAAAGGGTTTTGAAGCTTGAAAACTCTAGTTTTTAGATTTTTGGTGAAAAAATTTTTTGAGCTCCGGTTTCCATGCAATTCTTAAACAAAGCTGAAAATAATTTTTTTCTAAATTTTCTAGGTTTCGTTTTTCACTCTATGGGCATGGAAAAATTTTTTCGAGCTACTCCATTGTATAGGTCTCTTAGCGTGTTTATTCAGCTTCAAAAATCGCTTTGGATGGCTCAATTACGACCATTTGTCTCCGAGATATCGAACTTTGAATGCAAAAGCATCCTTTTCCATTCAACTGCTAATATCTCTGGAACTACTAGTCGCACAGCAAGCGGGCGCCGAGTTTCTTTATCTGCATAAAATTTCCAATTAAGCACAGTCAAGAGTTAGTGAAGAAAAAATTTTTTTCCACCTCTAACATTGAATTGAAAAAAGTGGAAAAAAGTGACTTTTTCTCCTTTTTTGGTTACTTGGCTGTATCTTCGCTAATATGGGCGGGAAAGCTAAGGTTTGAGGAAAATTTTACAGTCTATTGTTCCTTAAAGAACCCCCTAAATCCCTGGAGCGATCGGTTCAACGGTTTTTCCCGGACCAATTGATTGAAATTTTGGAAAAAATAAGGGAACAAGGTTATTGTCCCTTAAACTCACCCTAATCCATTCAAAAATCAATAATTTCATTTGTTTTTCACTTTTTACTCAATTTTTTGTTTTTTAAAAATTCATTATAAAAAAAAAAATCGAAAAAAATCAAGAAAATTTTTAAGAAAAATTTTTTTTTGAAAAGTCGAAAAAAGTTTACAAAAATTTTTTTTTTCGTTTTTAAGGAAATCAAAGTTTTTGACAAAAACTTTGATTGATGATCGATTTACCGCCGGCATTAGGAGTAGAGGCGGGAACACTCGATACTAAACACGATACACACACACACACACACTTTAGAAAATGAGTTTGGAGTCATTAAATACTGCGGAGCTGACGAACCACGGGGTCTCATTTCTTCTAAAAATTACTTACACAACACTAACACACACACTCTTCAGAAAATGAGTTTGGAGTCACGAAATACTGCGGAGCTGACGAACCACAGGGTCTCATTTTTTCTGAAGAATCCCATATCATAAACACGTGCGTAAGCACAAAAGAAGCGTAAATCCGACCGTGCAACCTCCACGTGGTATGCTTTGGGTAACGCTAATGCCGGCGGTAAATCGATCATCAATCAAAGTTTTTGTCAAAAACTTTGATTTCCTTAAAAACGAAAAAAAAAATTGTTGTAAACTTTTCGACTTTTCAAAAAAAAAATTTTTCTTAAAAATTTTCTTGATTTTTTTCGATTTTTTTTTTGATAATGAATTTTTAAAAAACAAAAAATTGAAAAAAAGTGAAAAACAAATGAAATTATTGATTTTTGAATGGATTAGGGTGAGTTTAAGGGACAAAAACCTTGTTCCCTTATTTTTTCCAAAATTTCAATCAATTGGTCCGGGAAAAACCGTTGAACCGATCGCTCCAGGGATTTAGGGGTTCTTTAAGGAACAATAGACTGTAAAATTTTCCTCAAACCTTAGCTTTCCCGCCCATATTAGCGAAGATACAGCCAAGTAACCAAAAAAGGAGAAAAAGTCACTTTTTTCCACTTTTTTCAATTCAATGTTAGAGGTGGAAAAACATTTTTTCTTCACTAACTCTTGACTGTGCTTAATTGGAAATTTTATGCAGATAAAGAAACTCGGCGCCCGCTTGCTGTGCGACCAGTAGTTCCAGGGATATTAGCAGTTGAATGGAAAAGGATGCTTTTGCATTCAAAGTTCGATATCTCGGAGACAAATGGTCGTAATTGAGCCATCCAAAGCGATTTTTGAAGCTGAATAAACACGCTAAGAGACCTATATAATGGAGTAGCTCGAAAAAATTTTTCCATGCCCATAGAGTGAAAAACGAAACCTAGAAAATTTAGAAAAAAATTATTTTCAGCTTTGTTTAAGAATTGCATGGAAACCGGAGCTCAAAAAATTTTTTCACCAAAAAATCTGAAAACTAGAGTTTTCAAGCTTCAAAACCCTTTTTTTTAATTTCCTGTACGATTATTTTTCACTGAAATACAGCCTGTTGAAAATCACCCAAAAATTTCAAAAATTTTTATGTTCCCTTAATTTTTGCGAGGAGTGTATTTAAAACTTTGAATTTTTTTTTTTTTACTTAAACTAATCAAAGAATAGCCTACAGCTTATAAGACTTTAAAGATAAACTCAAAGATAATGAATAATATATGCACCTCTGATCCTTAATAGTGACAAAGGCCAGGACCCTATCCAGTGACGTCTGCCAGCTACGACTTGCACGATCTTCTGAAGGAGTTCTCTAAAAAATGCAACAGAAAATGTTTATTTATTTATACATTATTATACACAATAATGGCCGTGGCATAGACTAGGCCACCCCTTCCTATTCTGTGGGTGTCATAAGAGCCGATTAAGGGAGAATGAGGGATTGGCAGCAGCGTCTCTCTTAAAACATTTCTAAAGCCTGACTGCGGTTGTGGCCTGCCAAGTGTGGCAACTACTGGCAAAATCCCCCAAGGTTAGAGGCTCAGCAGTGGACAGTTAAAGGCTGATATGATGATACACAATAATATTACATAAAAAAATGTGATAGAGATAAGCAATATAAGCAAAGGTGAACTCAACTATAATTGTTCTCTTACAACAAATCCTTATTGGATGTATTACATATGATGTGATTTTTATACACCATTACCAACAATCCCTTTCCAAATTACATAAGTACTCACAACAGGTGTGGTAGTGGGCCTAGAGTAATGGCTGGAGCGCAGCGGAGTCGTTGTAGACTGGCCATATCTATCACCTTGTTGAGATCTGGACCTCTGATTTAAATAATTTAAACAGATAAATTAAAATTTTTTATATATTTACAAGATTTATTATCTTCTAAATGCATGAAAATGACAATTTATTATTAAAAAAATCTGAAAATTCATTAAATCCTATATGCAGTTAAGACAGAATGTTTAGTGGGATAATTATTGTTGTCATGCTTTGTTTATCATTACATATGGTTAATAATATTTATTCAATGAATTTTAAATATGTTTTACATATTTGTATAATGAATATATAAATAATAAATAATAAAAATAAATAAATAAATAATGAATATTTATATTGTCACAATATATTAGATTTAGAGATAGGATTAAATTCCACAACAATAATATTTAATTTGTTTTAAATTTGTTCATACTATAATAACTTAGGTGTAACTTACTCCATTAAGAGGAATCTTTGTAGCTGATGCTTCTCTACTCAGCCTGCCACTACCAAATGTTGCTCGAGGAGGATCAGCGCTGCTAGACCGGTGTCCTGTAGTACTTGGCCGGCGAAATTCCGTCGATAGGCGGTCCGTTGATCCCGGCCGGCGAGGTTTGGGTAATAATGATGGTTTACCTTCCAACCTAACGACAGTGGGGGGGAAGGGATTGTTAGTAATGAGCTCTAATAGCCCCATTGCTTGCAATATACCCTGTCAAGTCGACTTCCACGCGGTTCCCCCTGGAAACTATCTAACTGATTTATCGTTGAATTAGTCATGATAGGCTAACTGACCTGTTTTTTCATCCTCACCAATCATGCCTCACTGGTACCCCGCCAGTGTATACCAATAACGCAGGCGGGGTTACTATTACATTATCATACATTAAAAAAAAACCTAACGACAGTTTAAAACCTACCGTATTCGACACTTTGTATAAGTTCGTTTAAATAAAACAATCAAAGACTATGACTTAGAGCAATATATACGGGATCCAATTTATACTAATTAAATAGAACATAGCCAAAGATTATTGTAGTATAAATAAAAAATAAACTGTACCGTGATTTACGCATAGCTGAAGAATGTCCAGCGGCAAATCTTGCTGGTATCATGGTATTATACGTACACAATCTAACTAATGTAAACAAAGTATATAACGCAAATAAACAAAATTAAGAGATTTAGTTTAACTGAATTTAATACAAAATAATAGATTTCAAAACAATAACACTACGTTGAGAATGAGATTTTTAAATTTCAAACAACAACAATTCAACGAATTAAACCATAGATAACGATCTGCCTTCAGCTGTCAATGTCAGCGATAATTTTATTACTTTTTCTTTGGTTAAAACTATAAATTACGAATAATTACCAGGCTTTCTTTTTCAATGGTAAAATCTCCAGGGGGTAATAAAATAAAATTCCAAAATCACGGACTCAATTTCGTATTTTTGTTCACATCAAAATTGGCCTAATAAAAGGAGCTAACATTTCATTCGTCATAAATCCAAAAGTGAAGGAACGGTAAAGTGCAAAGGAACGGTATTTTAAACGAAACACAAATTAAATGTCAAATTTGTGTTTCATTTGGCCACAAAATTTCGGAAAATATTTCACGGTAGGTCACTACTAAAATATCTTAAAATAAAAAAAAAAAACATGTTTCAAGCAATTAACAAATTTAATTCATTTATAAAGCAGCATTAATGTTAGTTACTATTTTTCCATTCATTTAAAATTAATTTTTCAGTTTTCATAACTAGTTGAGGAAAAGCTGGGTCAAGTAAGCATATTTTCACAAAATCCTTGTAATTTACAGGCATTTGTTTAATCAAATTAGGTATAGCATCTGTAAAATATGTTAAAAAGTAAATTTGATTGCAATTTGTATTAAAATTTATATAGTATTATGTACATGATCTCGTAGGTAAAAAATTTAGTAAATCTGAGGTCCGATGTTGTATGTGTTTGTAGGAGTCAAAATATTAGGTAGATACTGACAAAAAAAAATGAAATTAGATTTTATTTATACCAAGCCGCTTCGCTAAAGTAGTATGAGTAGGTTTATATCCTTCTCTTAATAAAAAAGAACGATACTTTGATAAAATTTTATTAAAGGAAAATATATTTTGTAAAATGATATAATGCTAGTACGTTATATAAATATTAATAGAATCTAGCATCTTACCTACGCTTAAAAATGTAATAACTTGTGTCACTTTCGCAAAAACACTATAAAGAATATTTTAACGTATAATGTAAAGCTCTCCCACAGCTTTATCACTTTTAAAAATTATGAGAAGTCATCTTGGTAGTAAAATCAATTTCATATTTTACTTTATTATTTGTATACAGAAAAAATTGATGTAATAATAAAGTTTAATAATTTAATTATATGATCTAATTATATAATTTAATTATATAATAAGTAAAGAATATAATATATACCTTTAGCGGACAATGCTGCTTTCAGTACTTCATTAATATTGCAATATTGAAACTTATTATTTTCGGAATTTACGCAGTTATGATTTATCACAGGAAAATGTGCTCCGAGTTTGATAAAACACTGTGCAGGATCGGAGTTTACTTGAAATTTTAATTTGCGAATCTATGACGAATTTGAGAAAAGTAAAGAATTTTAAGTTCATAAATATCGGCTATAAAATATTTTAAAGCCAATATTTATGAATTTGCTTACTTCTTCTTTTTTGTTGCATATTATAAGAATCAAAACATCTTCTTTGTATATTCCTTTCATTTTACTAGTGAAATTTAATGTCTCCAAAATCTTATTGTCTTCCGTAATTAAAAGTTGATCGCAGTAAATACGTAACATTAACTTCAAAGTCTTAACTTTGTAGTTAACCCAATTGCTAGCCTTCCATATCATTAGTTTATCAATGGCTGTCGAATACATATCTGCAATTTTAAAGTTATTTTACCTTATATTATTCCTTATATGAAGTATTTTGGAATATAACAAACTAATATATGTAAATAATTGATCCAATTAATTACATACGGCTCATTGTTAAATTTTAATAGAAACTATTAAAACAATAACAACAAATAAATCGCGCCAAAGTTTTATTTTTTAAACTAGGTAGTAATTTTTTTATAAGTAATTTACGTGTAAAACCTTTAGTAGGTTATATTGACTTAGTATAACGTACTTTAATCTAAGTGTAAAACAGATTAAGTTTCTAGGCTAGCATACATAAAAAATATCGACGAAAATTTTAGAACAATCTTTGTCTCTTCGTTTGTTTTGTCAGTTAATGAATAATTATTTTCATAATTCATCATTTTCCTACACGACGAAATTCTATTATAATATGACGCGTCTATTGTCTATAACTTATAATTTAAGTTATAGAAAGTCCAGGAGTCATATTATAACTCAAATAAGTTAAAAATTTCCTATTGCAATTTCAAACAGTGTGAAAGTAAACTTAATTTTAAGTTTATTATATTAGATTAAAAGTATATATATATATATATATATATATATATATATATTATCTTCATCTATGTTCGCCGATCGTAGCAAACAGCTTTATTTCTAAATTTTGAAACTGTCAATGTCAATTTCACAAACAGTCATGAATGACAAGTAAAAATATGATTTTGTATTTTCTTTAAATTCTATACTATTTAGAAATAAACAATTTCACTATATATTAAAATGGCGGGGACATATTATTTTGTCATTGTTGGGCATTCGGATAATCCAATATTTGAAATAGATTTCATTCCAGCTACTAAAGAAGTGAAGGTAAAATTCGTAAAATAAACACAACTATGGGTCACTAATATTTAAGTCAATTGGAATCGATTAAGGTACGAAAATAATGACCTTATTTTTTACAGAAAGAAGATAACAGACATTTAAATCAGTTTATAGCTCACGCAGCTCTAGACTTAGTCGATGAACACATGTGGAAAGTAACTAACACATATTTGAAATCTGTTGATAAGTTCAACCAGTGGTTTGTTTCTGCTTTCGTTACTGTAAGCCAGGTATTGTAATGAATAATATTTTAAGAAAAGTAACATGTTTTACATTAAAATGTTTTGTTTTTATATGATCCTTAATTTATATAGTGTATAAATATTCAGTACAATTTCACAATTAAGATTTAAAATTTCCCCAAAATTTAGTTTACTGTACTCTGTGCTATGTAATGTGATGTGGATATAAGACTACTAAAATAATAGAAAAAATGATTAAAACATACATTCAGTGAATAATTTGGTTTTGATTTCAATTTTTGAACTCTATAAGCCAGTAAAACTGTCAACATATAGATTTATATTGACTATTAATTCAATATTATTTCAATTGTTGTAGATGCGGTTTATAATGGTGCATGATGCACGCAATGAAGACGGCATCAAGAACTTCTTTACAGATGTTTATGAAGCCTACATAAAATTGATGTTGAATCCATTCTATAAAGAAGACACACCTATAACATTACCAGCTTTTGAGAAGAAAGTACAATTTCTTGGGAAAAAATATTTAACATAGTAAATTCGACAGTGAACAAATCAACAAATTACAAGATTAAATTATTTAATTATAAGAGATGTAAATATATAAAGTACATAAAACTAATTTAAGAGTTTCAGAAGTTTTATTATAAACGGTTTCCTAAAATATCACACAAACGAAAAGGCGGACATGGTTATGCAACTATAAAAGACCATGAAAATCTTTGCTTATAATTTAGTAATATCCAGGAATATTGAAGTCAATATGTGGAGATAAATCATTCATACTTATAATAATATATCTATAAGGTATACAAAACAATTATATTGTAAATTCTTGCTTTAATAGTGCTAGCACTTATTGTCCTTACAGATTTTGTCAATGTCTTCTACAAACTCTGGCAATAAATAGAAAAAATGCTGTTACCCATAACATGTGTAATATTTATTGTGATAAATATTACATGCTTACGTAATTAACATACATATTAATTGGACTTAATTATCAATTAGAGCAAAGAGGTCTATGACAAAACCTAATTCTGAAGTTTTGAACCTAAAATTTTCTGTAAGATGATGAAACATGTTCTTATTAAAATAGAAATTAATAAAAAATAAAAATTCCTTAAAAACCTGTTTTTATAGCAATATAAATATAATATAGCAGTATTCCAATTTTAGTGTTTCTTGTTTTATTCAAATTTAAAAAAACTAAACTCTTGAAATCTGCCTCTTTAATTAAAAAAGAGGCTGCACTCACTATCTGTAGGTGGTGAATGAATTAATAATAAAGTGGTGTTTGCTAATACTCATATGAAAATGTCCCTTGTGTCCTATACACAATATGGTCAACACTATTAATTAATAAAAATTTGTCATTATGTTATAGTGAACATTTATATTTATGGCATTGAATTGATTTGAATTAATTTATTTTCATATTATAAAATCAATTTCTGTGCATCACAATTTACTTAGAAGATCTTTAATAGTTATATTTCCAGGTTTTAACTTTAGGTCATTGCTGTAATAATTATAGTAATTATTGCCAAAACTTACTGTTTGTACTTCTAAACGATGTAACTAAATATTAAATTTCTCACAAACAATACAAAATCTAAAATGTGTTTATATTTTTTTTATCCAATAATTACAGAAAATTGATAAAGTCAATATAAAGTACATAAATTAGATTTTAGACAATGGATAAATGAGTTGAACTCTTTTTAATATAAATCAGGGAGACCAAGATCTTCATTCGGGATGCTGTCATTTGAAAACTCATCTGTAGAATAAATAATGTTATATGTATTATTTATATTTAAATCAAATTCAATATAAACTTTAAGTACCCATAAAAATTATTATTATATTAGTCATCGAGACCCATAAAAGATCATTCATCAATATATTTTAATTATGAATCTACTATAGATTATTTTGTTTAGAAGAAACTACAGGGAATACAACAATTACTCTTTTCTAACAGAAAAGAACTTTATGTATATTTATTTGATTTTATTCTATATTTAACTTACAGAACATAATGTTTTACTTTGTCTATAATTTTGGAAGTTATTACTCAATCACATTACGAGGTTTGTCCGGAAAGTACGTATAAAAGTTTTTTAAAAATTTTATTTTACAATTATTCAGGTAAATCAATTTTATCCCCTTCAAAGTACTCCCCCTGTGACATAATGCACTTGTGCCAACGCCGTTTCCACTGTGAGAAGGCTCCTTGAAAGTCCTCTGGTTGTAGGTTTCTCAGCTGCCCCGTCGTAGCTTTTTTATCTCATTTATGTCCCCCAAATGCCGCCCCCGAAGTACCAATTTGGTTTTTGGGAACAAGAAGAAGTCACACGGGGCCAAATCCGGCGAATAGGGGGGTGTTCGGTCACCGTAATGGAATTTTTACTCAAAAACTCACGGACAACAAGAGAGGTGTGGGCAGGGGCATTGTCGTGGTGAAGAATCCAACGCCCCTCTCGCGCCAATTCTGGACGAACTCGTGCCACACGAGCTTTGAGGCGTCTGAGCACATCGACGTAGAATTTTCCATCAACTGTCTGGCCTGGAGGGACGAATTCTTGATGGACAATCCCCCGAACATCGAAAAAAACAATCAACATTGTCTTGACATTTGAGCGGGATTTTCTTGATTTTTTTGTTCGTGGTTCCCCGGATGTCTTATCGAATTAGATCGGCAAAAATTTCACGGCCATTCTTGCCGAGTTTCGAGAGAAACTTGATTACGACGCGCTGCTCTTCAACGGAAGCGGGCTCCATGCCGACGGGGTTTCGTTAAGAGGTAACTTCACAGATGGCGTGACAAGCCAGTTCGCACCGCACGGCGGTCAGACCAGAACTGAAGCATTGTTAGGGACATAAGGAAGGGGTCCTGCGCTTACCTGGCCTCCCCACTCCTCTTTCTCGCATTCCAGAACACTTTTATACGAACTTTCCGGACAGACCTCGTATGTTAAAGAGATTTAAATACAATTTATTATGCATGCAGGCCATGTTTTGTATAAAATATAACAAACTGTTGATCATAATTTACATGTGTAATGGGTAAAACTTAGATTGACATAAAACAAATTACCTTTAAAGAACTCGTCCTCATAAGAACAATCAAATTCAACATTATGCTGAGCTATAGTTGGTGGTGGAGTGGTGGGTGGGGAGAACTGCCTCAGAATCGGTGGTTCTGGTACTTGAAGATAACCAAATAGATCCCTAGGGTAAGAATCTGTAACAGGCAGTTATATTTACAATTACTTTGTAGAAGGTTTTATGTATAAAAATTTAACATAAACACTGTTTCTGCCTACTCTAATGGGAACCAGGTGTGGCAGATATATATATCTTATGATAAATATGGATAACTGTCATGAATATGAACAAACTAATCTAATAGTGAGATTTCCGTGAAACGAGTATGTATTCTCTTTTACATACAAGTTTTTGTTGGTATTGATACATTTGAACTATATTGTAAAAAATAAAATTAATTTCTCAATAATAATACCAGTTCTAAAAAATAAAAACACATGAGAAACTTAAGGCTACACACTAATTGAAAGAGACATTAAAAAGAATCTTTGAGGATTTTTCATGTACCCACCATATTTCTTTGAAGGTTTTGTAAACTCCAACTCTTCAGTATTCCATTCTTTATTTTTAGTTTCTGCTCTGGCATCATTGTATATGAGAGAACCCACATTCACAGCTCGTGGTGTAAATGCTTTCCTTGCTGGAGTGCTTTGAAGAGCTTTACCAGCATTTGAAAGAAATGACTTCTTTGCGTCTCCCTTTTTTAAAGGCTCATTTGGTTTAATCGGACCAGTTGATACAGTCTTCCCCATATTTTCTACAAAAATAATATTTTTATATGTTAAATATGTACATACCCAATAACAAATTGTAGCGATATACAAATATTATATATATTTACCAATGTTTGCTATAGGTTGGCGCGAAACATTTTTCATAGTCTGCCTTGTTAAGTGATCACCAAATATATCAAACAGAGATTCAGCCATTATTAATAAGTATTTTTTTTAGAATCCAAAAGCAATATAATTAATCTATTAAGATGTTTCTTGAGGCAATTCATATAAACAGTTACAATAGAAAAATATAAACGTTTGAAGAGAACGGTCAACTCTTTTTTAAATTTGGCATATAGAAATCTGTCATACTAAAAATGCTGAAACTTCAATTATAGACTGAGGATATTATTCTCTTTCTAGGCTTAATTGGTAGATTAGATTTTATTGTTTACGATTTTTGTTTATAGACAGAGATGAAGTTTCACCGTCTTCTTTTACAAATGGATAGTGGTACATCCGGGGTTACTGTAAGAACAAGGAATTTCTTATTCTTAGAAGTTACTTATCTGATGGTTTACAATTAGCAAAAACTTATGTCAATCAAGATCATTCTAATGTCATTTTAGTTAAATCTAAAGTTCAATGAAACAAAATGTCTCTAATCTGTGAACAAAATAATCAACAAATACTTTATAATATGTGTATTGTTGTACATTAATGTACTAACTTTTTATTTTTCATATTTTTTGTAAAGAAATCTATAAGTTCAAAAAGGAGAAAAATTAAAATATGTCCAATCCAGAAGATAAATCTATGAAATATAATGGCTTGGATACCGACCCTTTACAAAGATTACCTTCCTTCAAAGCACCTCGCGATCTCACACTTGGAGCGAATAAACCAAACAAAAAAGTATTTACTCCGAATTTAAATGTAACGAGGAATAAAAATAAAGGGTGAGTAGTTACTAAAATTTCTGAAAACATGATAACATTTTGTCAATTTTCCATTTTTATGAATGAAAAACACAATGCCGATAACAAAACCTTAAAATTTGTAGGCCTACTTTAAATATATCAAGAGATCCCAAGAAAGACGACAAAGGGCGAAGAGATCGTAAAAATGATCGGAAAAATTTTAGGAACGGTCCTAATATAATAAAGTCAGGAGGGGTGTTCTCAGAAGGTAATATTCTATTAATATAAAGAACTAACATTTGTGTATTTATGATTATTAAATTATCTTTGAAACTACTAACCTGATTCTTAAAGTTGTCAAAATATAACATGAATTAGTTGTGGAAAATACTTTATAATGATTATGTTAATTATGTTTTGTTTTATTTATTTATTATTTATTTAACTCTTTGTTGCACCAGAAACAAAAAAAAAATACAATTACAATTAAATAACTCAAGAGAAATACAGTAACATAAATACAGATTGAAATATATGCATAAAGGTACAAGAGGCAGTCTTATCGCTAGGGCAATCTCTTACAGATAATCTTTAATTTTTATATAGGTAAAACTGAAGAGCATTTTATTGTGTAATTAAGATGATGTATATTTATAATAATAAGTTTGTGTGTTTCAAAGATAAACATTATATTTGTTTATCTAACTATTTTAACTCTGGTTTAGGTAGCCATTGGGGCTGATGCAGAGGTGCCACATGGTTAAATTTATGTCTTAACCTAATATTTAAATATGACACTTTATTCAAATTACCCTTTTATTGACTATCATAGACTAAAATTATAATAATTTAGACTTAAATCTATTAGAAAATTAGTTCATATTGTTTTTTACAATAAAGACTTTGATGTGATATCAAATTTTATTTTAGATAGGTTTAAAGTAACTGAAATTCTGATGTGCGATCAGAATCAATTCTAATGTCTATTTAGTAGATATCATAAGTATAATGGCACATTATTAAAAAAGTTATTAGAAGCTAAACATTGAATGTAAACAACTATGCACAACACTGAACACTTAGTCCTAGTTAAATGTAGAAATTTAATTTTCTAATTTTTTTTGCAACTTAGAATGGCAAACAAGCTAATGGCACACCTGATGGAAAGTGGTAACCGTTACCTATAGACATGAGCAGTAACATGGACATAACAGAGTATACTGTTTCGCCCATGATACCCCACATGCGTTGCCATTCCTGAGGACTCAGGTGTTATTCCTCTGTACACAGTAAATTCACTGCCATATCCCACCCTTCAAACCGAAACACAGCCATGCAAACATAGTCATTCAAACACAGCAATGCAAACACAGCCATGCAAACACAGTCATGCAAATAGAACTGCTTCACGGTAGAAACATTAATGGGCCAGAGGGCCCAAGCAAAAGACTTGTACAAAGTCTCTCTTTTTTAGATTGAGCTCTTTTCACTAATTTAAAATACATCAACATATCTACCAGATATAAATAAAATAATTTATTCTATTCTGTTTATTCTACTTCAACATAACATTCCATGACTTTTTAATGTACTTATTTAAGTTTTAGATAGCATGAGCTATCATGTCTACCCAGTGTTTGTTTGGTTGACCTCACTTCCTTTTCTTTCTCGTATCTATTCCACTATTTTCTCCAGTGTAGTAGTAGTGTCCATCTACTCAGTCTATCATGGAGTCATGTGCACTGTAAAGGTTCTTATATGAACATTACAATGTAACATTTGTTATGACTAGGTTTGGGCAGTTCTGAGAGGCACTATAACCGCACATCATATGGCAGGGAGTCGGAGCCTGCTGCTGCATTACAGAAACCCACCATAAGGGTGAAGGATGTCATTAAAGTATGTATGAAAAGTATTTATTAACTTTATAAATTAAAATTTTATTTGTAAAATATGATTATAGAAAAATTTAACCAGTTAAAACTGTACTGTATATGTAAACTTGTATTTCAAAGTTTTTTTTTCTGTTCATATGACATGGTACAGAGTGCATCCGCCAAAAGCAAAGTTTGAGAAAGTGCATTTTACTTAAGGGAGTAGTTCAAAATATTTATTTTTGGTTAACTTTCAACTACAATGTTTTCTGTACAGTATAAATTTTTTAAACATGAATTCAAGTAAGTATGTTTGTGGATAACAAATCTTTTTGATACTGATGTAATATAGAAAGAAAGAAAGAAAACATTTATTGGCAACAAGGAAAAGTTACATAAATTACCTACATTACATAAATAATATACCTTTAAATGTTTTTTGTGCTAACATTTTCAAACTGGTTTAATAAAAAAAAGGTGGGTAATTGCATTTAGCTTAAATGCAAATTACCTTAAAAGAATTAATTTTAATATTTGTCTTCATGTTCTTGTGCAGAAGTTTTTTTTAAATGAATGTATGAATTATTTATATATTACTCATGTAAAATGTTTTTCTCAAATAAAAATTATAGTATTAATAACTGTAATTGGCTAAAATACAAAATACATATTACAATTTTTTGTTTTATATTTATTTAATTTTATTTACCTTTTTTTTTTTTTAGATTGATAAAGAATTAGAAGAGCAGAAGATAAAGTCAGTGGTGGGGGATAGTAATTACGATGATGACTCGAGTGTGGACTTCAAACGAGTCATTGAGAAAGATGCACCGGTCAAACTACCTATGGGTGATGGAGGTATTCATAGCTATTTATTTTATTGGTGATATGTTTTAATTCTAAATACTCATCAATTTCGTATCGTTTAAGATTAAGAAGTATAGGGAGTGGTGTGTCTAGAGTTAACTAAAATGTATCTTAGGGGGCATCCATTAATTACGTGAGTTCTTTTTCGATCAGTTTAGACTCCTCCCCCCCCCCCCCCCCCTAGGTGAGATTTAGTGAGATTTGCCTTGACCTCCCCTCCCCTTACGTGAGATTGACGCAAAAAATATTTCAACCTTAATTTATATTTATTATTCGGGAAAATAATAAATCGTTGAGGTATACTATAATTAATTTATTTAAATTAAATAAAATTCAAAGTAAAAACATAAAAACACTTTCTTTTAAATTTTTACTCAATCCATGGAGACTCGTGTATTTTTTCAATCGAAATAATTGAACACATATCATCTGGGATTTCTAGTAGTGCAGGAAGACAATCACTGGAAACGTCTACGTTTATCTTTAATATTTTAGTAATATCTTTAATATTTTATATTTTTTGAAGTTGACGTGAGATTTTTGATTATCCCCCCCCCCCCCCCCCGGTTTAAATGAGATTTGGTGAGAATTCATTAGACCCCCCCCCTATTCTGAGCTCACGTAATTAATGGATGCCCCCTTAATGTAAATAGGTAAGCATTTTTTTTAACTAATTTAATTTTAAGTACAGAATAAAGAATCTTTTATACAGGTACTGAAAACTTTTCATTCTTGTTTGATAAAAATATTAATTAATTTTTTGTTCTTTATTGTACACAAAAAGACATTTTATTAGAGTAATAATTAAATAATATAATGCACAAGGGAATTTATCTCTAAAAGAGATTTCTTCCAGCATACCCAATATAAGATAAACTTACAGTTTATTCATAGTTACAGGCATACATGTGTACCAATTGACTCAAATGTTATAGTTAAATATAAATAAATAAAAAACTGATATCACTTATCTGTAGTTTGGAAAAATACTACAAAGTCAGTTTCTCATATTATAGGCTGGTTGCAAAACCAGACGAAGTCAACTGTGAAGGTAAAACAGGAGGTGGCGATCAAGAGCGAGCCTGGAGACGATGTAGACTGCGCCAGTAAGATGCATCAATTTACTGTCCATCTTGATTACACTGAGTCGACAATGTAGTTTGAATTTATCAACATTATTTCAAACTGTATCCTTCCAATACAAACTTACTATAAAGTTTTTTTTTTATACAACTTAGAATGGTAAACAAGCTGACGGCCCACCTGATGGAAAGTGGTAACCGTCGCTTATAGACATGAGCAGTACCATGGACATAACAGAGTATACTGTTTCGCCCATGATACCCTCAATGCGTTGCCATTCCTGAGGACTCAGATGTTATTCCTCTGTACCCTGTATATTCACGCCATATCCCACCCTTCAAACCGAAACACAGCCATGCAAACACAACTGCCTCACGGTTGAATTCAGCACGATGAATTCCAGGGAGGGACCACGTGGCGGTTGACCTGACCTGACATATTACTAGCAATACGACTGCTTGTCCGCGTGAATAACGACCCAAGTCATCTACCAGCTAGCAATATACCCTGTCAGGTCGACTTCCACGTGGTCTCTCCTGGAAACAATTTTGCTGAATGCCAGGTGTATTCATCACGATGGGCTAATTGCCTTACCTGCCTTTTCATTCTCATCTGTCATCTATCACTAGTGTTCCGCCAGCGTATACATACCGTTAACACAGGCGGAGTTACCATTCCATTGTCATCTTTTAAAAAAAAAACTATAGCATTAAAATGTTACCATTCCATTATCATCTTACAAAAAAAAACTAATAGATTTATATCGTGCATCTCACCTTATTTAATTGTAATAAAGTTACAAATCGTATGTCGACTCAGTACTGCTCAAGTGGACTTTACAGTTGCGCAGTTCCCGAGGTGCCGTGCAGATTATTCTGCCCGGTCGGTCGGAGCAGCTACATCAGAACCAGATAACTTGGCGCAATCAGATGGGAGGGGTTTCTAAAAAAATAACAATTTTATATTTTAATATGTGCTTTATAATTATAAGGCCCAAGAATGGCAACACTTTTTTACTCTTTGTCTTTGGTATTGTTTTTTCTTTTATTTTATTTTTAATAAAATCTAAAATGGCCTCTCCCATCAGTGTTGCTCCAAGAACATTTTTTACAGAAATTTCGATGCATTTATTGTGTGGTCGAAATATCTTATATGGCTTAATGTTATTTTTTTTTATAAATATTTTTTTATAAATATTAATTATTATAATAGCTTATAGCTTTCGTTATTGAATATCTCCCATTCATTGTTAACCGCTGTCGCTGTTCTTATATCTATCCAGACCCCCTAAACAAATGGTAAACGACTCTATCGATTGATACGTTTTCGTTACCACATACATGAAGTAAAACGAGACTATAATATCCGGCGTGTTTTATTTTTTGTAACCAACAAAAAACGTATTGTCGATAGATTCGTTTGCAACTTGTCTATGGGTTCATATAGATAGAATATTATAGTAATTGATAGCTAAATGGGATTTCATTTAGGTTGTTAAGTTTTAATTTATTAGCTTTTGCTACTAAAATCAATGCAATACACTGCCTCTAAACGTCATTTCAAGGTAAAACATACACTAGTTTTTAATTTTGGAACACAACTGTGAAAATTGTATCCAATTTGGTGCAGTACTTTTTGCATAATGCCCATATAAACAGAAAAACGGACGGACAGAACTTATTTTTCTGCTCTTATACACACGTACACAGGGATTTCAGAAATAGGAAAACCAGGGAAATAGATCACTTGTATAGTACGCATCAAGATGGAACATAACCAGTTTTTAAGTTTCACCAATACAACCATAAAAGTCGCATCTAATTTGATGCACATACAGACAGACAGACAAAGTTTCTAAAAATATTGTTTTAAATTCTATTGCTCTTATTAAAAATCCTCAAAAATATAATAATATAAATATAATATTTTTTTCTCAATTATCTCTTCGATACAATGTCTTGTTACAATTTTATTAGTGAGATATCTGTTTATTTGTTTGTTTATTTACATAGCAAGTATTTTGCGGGATAGACAGAGAGAGCCGTGTCAGAGGCCTATATTAGGGTGTCCCAAGATAGAGGGACAATTTTTTTTGCTAAATCAAGTGCGCGTACCCTCTATTTTTATTCCGTTTGACCTTATTGACTCAAACAATAAATATTATTACGACTGGACAGTGATAACCCGTACCGACTTGACGCCAAACTTTTGACGTGATTTGTTCTGACTCTGACTATATGAAGAATTAAGAATTTAGTTTTTATTTCTTAATTAAAACTCCATTACAACCGAATAGCATATTATTTACTCATTTACATTAATAAATAATGTTATTGTTCAAATTTTCTTTTGAACATTTGTTTTTTTTTCAGTCAGGACAAATTTTCCAGTGTTCATGTACGCAACGTTACAAATATTGTTTTTGTTCCTCCTCAACTGTGATTAATCCATGAGTTTTGTATCAACTTAAACACCCTTTCGTCTACATCGTTTCGTGCTGAATCTTTCTAGCTTCTTGGAACGAAATACTATTTGATCACAAAGTAGAACATTCATGTCTTCAATTTTAAAGTGATTGAACAAGGACTTTTACTGAAATGAAATCGGGGATGTTTTTTTTCTGAAACAAAATAAGAGTACTTTTAGTAGAAAAATGTACTTTTACAGAAAACGTAGGTAAAAACTTCTATAACTATTCATGTCAATGTTCTTTAACACGTTGAGCGCCATGTCAGCCATCGGTGGCTGACACTAGACTTTCCGTTTAGGCCGCGTCAGCCATCGGTGTCTGACAGCGTGTAACATGAGAACTATAAAATTTTACACTATTTTACGGAATTACAGAAAACAAAACAGACTTGGTGCGTAACGTGTTCAATGAATGCCTATAGAAATCACGTTCCAAACGTAAACTACCTTCTACTACGATAGGAAACACCAGCTCCTGCAGTACCAGCGCTTCGAAGCGGCGCGCGTGGCCTGAACGGGATTGCTGTAGAAATACGCGTGGCGCTCAACGTGTTAATAAACGTACCATACAATGAACCGCAAAGTTCTTCTTTTGATGGGATGTATCGTTTTTCTTAAGTTATTTCTTCTTTGGTTAAATTATAATCAACCATTTTAACTTTAGTTTGTCCACCTTATCGTCAGACAGTGATAATATAGAAACTTCGTCAGTTAAATACCACAAACGCTGAGTTATCTTCTGCAAGGCTGCTTTTGAGAGCATTTTTTCAGTTTTCTCGTAAGACTTCGTTGATTTCAAAAAGCACAAATCTTGGTAAGCTGCTTTTATTGCTGAAGTCCATTGGCGCCGTGGTTTAATGTTGGATGTTACAATGAACAAGCAAACGTCAAACAATGCAGCCTTGTCTTTGCATGTGATCTTGCACCGAGCACTAAGTAACGCTATTTTCAGGGAATCAATTGTTCTCGCTATCCATCAAGCTTGGTGCATGGCACCTGATCAGATCTTAAATTATTTCTCCATATCTCCACCTAAAAATATCTGCAAAGTTCTATTAACTCTCTATAATTATCTCTGATTATTTCTTTTGTCAGCTCAGTTCGGTAAAACTCTAGCAAGTTGGCAATTTCGGAGTCAGTCAGGTGCTATGTAAGTTTTTCTCTATAATTCTGTATTTTAACTTTTTAAAGAGTGAAATATTAGAGCTTGTAGTTACTTGGCTAATTTTTGCTCCAAATACACCTTTTAAAACCAATTCATAAAGGTGGACAAGCAAAAATAAGCGGTTCAGTTATTGTTAGTACATAGGCACCGTTAATACGACCTGTATTTGAAGCAGTAGAATTATAATAAAGAAATGCAACTTTATCTTCTAAATTCCAGTCTACAATCGCGTTCCAAACTGTCTGCGCTTGTTCACATCCTGTGGATCTTTCTAATCTTGGCACAGCAATAAGTTGTTCTTTGTTTTCATAAGAAATAACTATAGGAAAACATTCTTCTTTTGATTTACAAGCATTTAATACAGGCAAAAGCTTGCCGTCCCAAAGAACAGTCACAACTTCTGGTCAACCATGAATGAAATAAATTTTAATGACTTCAGGGCGCTCTTTCCGTTTTTCTGTGTGAATTCTTTAGATAGAAGGTTTATTTATCGGACAATCATCAATATTATATCCAAGTGCTTGATCCTATCCAAATATATGAACAATAGGTGTTGACGCCTATCCAGCGCTACTACTAATTTTGGAGTAATGAAATCTTTCCGCAGAGGTGTTTTGTTGGGTTGCGTTTTCTCGACAAGATTCGGTACGTCTAAATCATCTCTTGTAAATCTAAGTTTTCATTAGATTGACAAGATCAGACGTCTTGTAATGGTACATAAGATGATGTTCAAAGAGTCGGCTCAGACAAATATTTTGTACGTTGTTTTTCTTCTTCAATAGTTCTGAGGCGCGCTCTTTCCTCTCTAACAGTTAATTTTTCATCCACTCCTGCTAAGTGGTCAGGTCGGCCTGGCTCTTTTTGACCCTGTAAAAACATTTTATCCTCATTTATTTTTAATTGAAGAGCATCGGCGTGTGCAATATCAAACAAATTTATCTAAATTATTTACAAAGTCTTGACGGCGCTGCTTAAATAGGTATTGTGTTTCTTTGCAAGTCCCTCCAAATTCGATATAAGTTTACAAGTTTCTTCACACAATTAGGCAAAGATTTAGTAGGAATACGCGCCTTTTCCCAATTCGAATAGTGTGATGCGGGGTCTCATTGACAGTTTAATTCACTTTACGGATATTCTAAAATAAAACTGCTAGAACTTGTCCATTAGAATTAGGTTTTGAACCAGTTTTACATCACATCTCAAAAATATACCCCTATTTAGTACTGCGTAATTTCACTGGTCTGTCACTGATTAAAAACAATGCATGTTCTACATATCGACATGTTAGGTCGCGTCATCCTTAGAGAGCAAGTATTGACATGTATCAATGTAAGTCGACACGGGTTATTGTGGTCCCGCTTTCTTAAAATCTTATTTATAATTGTTTTGACTTGAAAGTAAAAAAATTAGAGGGTATGCGTAAAATATATGTTAATAATAGGGTGGGGCGAAAAAACTATACAATTAGGAATTTTACAAAGAATTTTAAATTTCCAGTGGCTATCGAAGACAAAAAACCATTTGTAGATATAAAGCAGGAGGTATTCGAAAATACAGACGTGGTGAATTTACTGAAGAGTGATCAGCCAACGCTTATATTGCTACAGGTATTGGCAATATCACTTTGTTTTACTGAACTAGGTGTGATCTTGTGGAAGTCAGCGTGATCTAGAATCTGCCGAACGGGATTTGGCAGTGAATTTACAGAGTACAGAGACATAACACCTGGGTTCTCAGGAATTGCAACGCATAGAGGGTATTTTGGGCGAAACAGTACACTCTGTTATGTACATGGTACTGTTCTTATCTATAGGCGACGATCACCGCTAAGTTGCATACAAAAATCCCAGGTACGTGGACAAAGTGTGACAATATCACATACAGGTATACCATTTAGATAGATAGATAGATAATTTATTTACATTACTTACAGCACACAAATTACAATAAAAAAAAAACATACACGTAATACACAGCAAAAGAGACAAAAGAATAAAAAAGCACAAATAAAAAAAAATACAAAAACAAAATATATAATCTAACAATCTCCTTTGTTACCATTCTTTCATGCGTGTGCCATAGTAACACAAAATGGTCACAGCTCAATTTATTGCTTTGCCCTTAAAAGAGCAAAACACTGATATTCTGCTGTGGCCAAGAGTCAGTCGCGAAATTTAATTTCTCAGTCATTTAATCAAATCAGTCATTTAATTTCTGTCTCTAAAAAGAGAGACTCCTCGTGTAAGCAAGTTCAGAATAGATCCGATGCATTTTAATTGATATGTTCGGTATATGTATTGAATCGCATTGTATCGTGTAATTTTTATAAAATGAAGGTAGTTTCACATTGTTATTAGTTGATGTTTGATAAATTACGCACGTTAACAGAAGATACGAGTATTAAGTGCATGTTCATAGTTTTAAATTTCTCCTTTAAGTGATTTATGTATAAATCTTTAGAGAAATAAATGTCTTAAAACCAGTTATATTCCAGTTGCCAGATACCTTGCCAGGGCGGGGAGGTAGCATGGAAGATGATGCGCCGCGACGGAAGCAGACAGATCAGCCGTCTACTTCCACGGGGGAGAGCAAAGAGGAAAAACCGGTATATAATAAATATACCGGTATAGTTATTACCGGTATATTCATTTATAGAATTACCAACACTAGTGGATTAGGGCTAACTGTTCTTACATTTAAATGCAATAATAATAAAAATATCTGGTATCTATATCAAGCCAAGCAATAAATAAGAGGTTCGACTCTCGGTTGAGACAATTAAGCTTAAGTGTTTCCCTAAAATAGCTCACTGCTGGGCAGGTATTCTGGTTTTTTTAATGGGTGATAATGAAATGGTAACCCCGCCCGCGCTAACGGTATACGCTGGCAGGTAACGGTATACCAGTGAGGGATGATGGGTGACGATGAAAGCAGGTCAGTTAGCCCATCGTGATGAATTCCACGAGAATTACCCACCATGGTTTCCAGGGGGAACCGCGTGGAGGTCGACCTGATAGGGTGTAGTGCTAGCAATGGGTCAGTTAGACCCCCCATTACTAGCAATCCCTTTCCCCCCTCGGTATTCTGGTTGGACCACCAGGGTTTTCTTATTTATTTTAAGACCAAGAAATTAGTGTGATATTATCAAGCAAGATAAAAGATTAAAAAAAAAAATAGAATGTACGTATGTAGTAGTATGTACGCTTGTCTTATTACCTAATTATAAATTCTTTATTATTGCATTCTAGCAGACGGAATCGGAAAAGGTAATTAATATAGATACCATAGACTTTTATGTTAGGTGTCATGTCATATAGGGAGGTCAAAGATATGGCTTGGAATAGAATGCATGAATTAGTTCCACCGACAAAAGGAAATACTAATAAAAAAAAGTCAATATATATTTATAGTATATTTTTCAAATATTTTTAAATACACAATCGGGGCTGAACGCGTTGAAAAAGCTTTTACAGTTATATAGTCCCTACCATGCACTTGTACAGTATATGTTATTTTCTATAGTAAACAATATTAGGCTTTATTACGAACGGACTAAAAGTTATGTCAAAGATTTTCTTCTGTCTACTTTCTTGTTGCCTTAAAAACGTGATAAAATCAAGCCAACTGTTTGAGGGTACTCATGTCTCTTGTCTATGCCCCTATTTCACTGAGCATTGTTGTATTGAAGGGGATCCTATCACAGTCTCCATTAAATTTTGGTATATTACCAATGGCATCAATTCCGAAGCGCTATTTCTCTAAACCTATTGCTCATGTGTATAGCCGACGGTTACCACTTTCCATCAGGTGAGCCGTCAGCTTGTTTACTATTCTAAGTTGCATGGAAAAAACACCAGAGGGAGACTTTGTACAAAAATCGATTGCTTGGGTACCTCTGTCCCATTCGTGTTTCAACCGTGAAGCAGTTGTGTTTGCATAGCTGTGTTTCGGTTTGAAGGGTGGGATATGGCGTAAAATTACTAGGTACAGAGGAATAACACCTGAGTCCTCAGGAATGGCAACGCATGGGGGGTATCATGGGCGAAACAGTATACTCTATTATGTCCATGGTACTGCTCATGTTTATAGGCGACGGTTACCACTTTCCATCAGGTGGGCCGTCGCTCGTTTACTATTTTAAGTTGTATGGAAAAACTATTTTTAAAATTAAACTTTCAATTCGATATCACACAAATTGACACAATTGGTTAGAATATTACCAGGTAATGTCTGAAATTATTAATTTAGAATAGAATAGAATAGAATAGAAATCATTTATTCAAATAAACTTACATTGAAGCACTTTTGAAAAGTCATTACATTTTTTTTAATTTACCGCTCGTTCGGAAAGCTGTCTCATCACAAGAAGAACGAGCAAGAAACTTGCGTGATGCTCTTTTAAATAATTTTATTATTATTTTACATTTTTAAGTTTAATTGTGTGAATACAAACCACCAATTAGCACTAATTCAATTAAATACTCAAAAAGAAAAAAAAATTGAATACATAACCAACTGGTTAAACAATTAATAAGAGGAAATCAGTCATAGTGATTAGAGCAGACCAGTCCCTACAAGCAGCACCCGTTCACGAGTATGACGGATGAGCCAGCCATCACTGCGCTCGACCATATTTTAGGGAGCCCAATGACCCGGCCCACCACGCCGCCACAAGTCTGGACATTTTAGTGAGCATGACTACTCAAAACACTAGACCACGTCAAAGCTACTCACAATTGC